ATCAGGTAAAGAGTACATTTTTTTTGGGGGGGTCCAGTCATGGGGCCTGAACTCTGGGCCTGGACGCTGTCCTTCAGCTCTTCAGCTCAAGGCTAGCACTCTACCAGTTGAGCCACAGGGCCACTTCCAGCTTTTTTTTTTGTGCTTACGTGGTGCTGAGGAATCAAACCCGGGTCCTCATGCATGCAAGGCAAGCGCTCTACCACTGAGCCACCTTCCCAGCCCCAAAGAGTACATTTTTTTGACAATGTCACCCCGTCCCTTGCTCTCTCCCAGTTCCAAAGAACATCTGTCATAAGGAATAAGCCTACAGAATGAGAGAAAGTATTTGTCAAGTTTATATCTGACAAAGGACATGTTCCCAAATAAGAAAAAACTCATCCAGGTACAGGTGGCTCATGCCTATAATCCAAGCTACTCAGGAGGCTGAGATCTGAGGATCACGGTTCAAAGCCAGTCCCCACAGAAAAGTCCCCATAAGATTCTTATCTTCAATTAACCACTCAAAAAACCGGAAGTGGAGCTGTGGCTCAAGAGGTAGCCTTGAGCCCAAAGAGTCTCAGGGACAGTGCCCAGGCCCTGAGTTCAAGCCCCATGACTTGAAAAAAAAAATCAAACAACCCTCTAAGAATTCAATGATTTAACAACAACAACAATAACAAAGCAAATCCCCAGGCTGAGGTTGGTGGAGCATACCTCTAATCCCAGCACTGGGAAAGCTGAGAGTCCCAGGCCTTCCCAGGGCTACATAATGAACTCTGTCTCAAAAACCAAAACCAAAAATTATTGTACATGTATGCTGATAGAAGTGCTATTTACATAGCCTACACTGTGGTATAGCCATACACTGTACTATTATTGAGTCATAAAATAGAATGCAGTACTGATACATTCTACAATGTTGTTGAACTTTGAAAATATGTCAAGCCAAAAGAAGACAACACATTGTCTAGAATAGGCACATCCAAGGAGACACAAAAGATAAATGATTGCCAGGGATAAGTAAGCATAAAGAAGTGATGGGTAGGGGCTGGGAAGGTGGCTCAGTGCTAGAGCGCTTGCCTTGCATGCCTGAGGCCCTGGGTTCGATTCTTCAGCACCAAATAAGAAAAAAGTCAGAAGTGGTGCTGTGGCTCAAGTGGTAGAGCGCTAGCCTTGAGCTGAAGAGCTGAGGGACAGTGCCCAGGTCCAGAGTTCAGGCCCCATGACTGGACCCCCTCCCAAAAAAAGAAGAAGTAATGGGTGGCTGGGAAGGTGGCTCAGTGGTAGAGCGCTTGCCTTGCATGCATGAGGCCCTGGGTTCGATTCCTCAGCACCACCAGAAGTGGCGCTGTGGCTCAAGTGGTAGAGCGCTAGCCTTGAGCTGAAGAGCTGAGGGACAGCACCCAGGCCCAGAGTTCAGGCCCCACAAAAAAAAAAAAAAAGTAATGGGTTGTGGTGACTACTAATGAGTGGGAATTTCTTGCTGGCCTGGTGAAAATGTTCTAGGTGAAAGTAGCCGTGGTGGCACAACTTTGGAAATATACTAAAACAAACAAACAAAACCTTTATTTTACTATTTAAGTAAAATTATCTTCCTTTGTTTTGTTTTGCGGTGGGGAGTCTTGTTCTATTGTCTAAGTCGGCCTCCTCTGATGCCTGAGCTCAAGGATCCTCCTCTCGGCATCCCAGGTACCTGGGGCCACAGGTGCACCACCAGCCCCACCGCTAAAAGGTGAAACTACATCTCAGTTTTAAGAATTTCTTAGGCTGGAGGTGCAGCTCTGTGGTAGAACACTCCAGCCTTTCTGCCGTCTTGGGCGCCATCCCCAAGCCTGACAAAAGGAAAAGTTGTTTGCAGCCTAAAGTTTGTGGGAAGGGAATGGTAGGACCTCCAGGCGGCGCAACCTCCTACTCCGGGGAGCTCGGGTCCCCACCTCTGTGCGCAAGCGCAGGTGCCTTACCTGGGACACCAGCGTGGAGCAGCTCGCCCCGCCCACACAGGGTGGAGCAGCTCGCCCCGCCCACACAGGGTTGCCCCTCCCACTTGTGCTTGCCACCTCCCTCCGCCCGGGATGGGCTGCGCCTGCGCAGTGAAACTCGGCTCTAGCTGGCGGCGGATGTCCCCGCCTGGTGGAGACACCTAGGCGGGTCCTGCTAGGCCTGTCCAGGACGGGCGGGGCCGCTGGCAATTAACAGCTTCCTCCGCCTGTGTGGCCGCGCCAAGCCCCTCCTCCCCTCCCGCCCCCCACCGGAGAGGTGGCCGGAAGGGTAGGGGACCCGGCGGCCGGGCGGGCCCGGAGGCCTCAGTCCTGACTCTGGGCCCTCCCCGGCCATGTCCACTGTGTCGGCAAAAGCAGCCTCAGTTACAAAGGAATGGTGTCCCAGTAAAACCTCCCGTATGCACACTGAAGACCTGCCATTTTTCTTTCCATCATGAAATCTTTGGGGTTTTCTCACCCCCCTAAACATACAGAAGCCTTCCTCAGCCTGCTGGCTGAGAACGCGACTGGGGAATTGCTCTGATCCGAAGGCCAGTGAGACCGGTGCACGTCCGTGAGCTTTTCCACTGCAGTGTCCCAAAGTGACTGCACCACCCCCAGAGAAAGGGACTCCCCAACTGAACGAAGCCCGGCCCAGTGCATCTTGGCAGTGCTCCCAGAATCCTATTTAATTCCCGCTCAACTGACTTGGGGGAGGGGGAGGAAGAAAAAAAATTTTTTTTTTTTTGCCAGTTCTGGGGTTTGAACTCAGGGCTTGGATACTGACCCTGAGCTTCTTTTGTGCAAGGCTAGCCCTCTACCACTTGAGCCACAGTGCCACTTCTGGCTTTTTCTCTATGTGGTACTGAGGAATAGAAGCCAGGGGTTCATGCTAGGCAAGCACTCTGCCACTCAGCCACATTCCCAACCTCCATGATTGACACTTATATCCAGTTAGCCATCAAAAATGTGGAGCTGAGACTCAAGTGGTAAGCTGAGGGACAGTGCCCAGGCCTTAAGTTCAAACCCCAGGACTAGCATACACACACACATATACATACGCTCATGCCTGTAAGTGTGAGGATGAGATAGATCAGTGCTATTCTGTGGAAATATATGAGCTACGAATATAATTCTAGTAGTCATATGTAAAACAGGCTCTGCAGGAGTGTTTTTGTCAGTTGTAGGACTTGAACTCAGAGCCTGGGTACTGTCCCTGAGTCTTTCTGTGCTCAAGGCTGATGCTCTACCCCTTGAGCCACAGTGCCACTTCCAGGTTTTGAGTGGTTAATTGAAGATAAGTGTCTCATGGGGACTTTTTGGCCCAGGTTGGCTTGGAACCAAGATCCTCAGATCTCAGCCTCCTGAGTAGGATTACACGTGTGAGCTACCAGTGCCCAGCAATTTTAATATTTTATTTAACTCAATATATCCAAAATAGCATTTAGTATATCAGCATATCAGCAATCTAGCTTTTTGCCTTTTTTTTTTTTTTTTGTCGGTGGTAGGGCTTGAACTCTGGGCCTGAGCGCTGTCCCTCAGCTCTTCAGCTCAAGGCTAGCGCTCTACCACTTGAGCTACAGTGCCACTTCCAGTTTTTCAGTAGCTAATTGGAGATAAGGGTCTCACAGACTTTGCTGCCTGAGCTGGCTTTGAACTGGGATCCTCAGATCACAGCCGCCTGAGTAGCTAGGATTCTAGGCATGAACCACCAGTACCTGGATTTTTGCTTGTTTTTGAGACAAGGTCTCACCATTTTCTAAGCTGTCCTCAACTCCTGGGTCAAGTGGTCCTCTTGAGTGGCTGAGACTACACCAGCTCTGTGCCATAGTATAGGCCATAACAATTAGTGAAATATTTTTGTTTTTTTCTCCCCCACAAAGTTCTTTATACTCGGTGTGGATTTTATCTTTATAGCACAATGATTGCACTTTACTGGGGTTTGAGCCTCCTTCTTACTTGGCTGGAGGCTACCATTTTTTATTTATTTATTTTACTAGTTATTTTACTGGTTATTTTGGAGATGGAATCTTTCAGACTTTTCTGTCTGGCTTTGAATCTTGACCCTCCAGCTCCTAGCCTTCTGAGTAGCTATTGTATGAGGGCTATGGAATGAAAGCAACTGAATGAGTGGCCCTGCTGCACACTAGCTGGGGAACCTGCCAGCACCCCCCACATGTCACCTCCATCTCCTCCAGTGGGCCAGGGAGGTGGGTCTTGTGACTTCCAGCATTGCAGAAGAGGATGGGAAGGGGAAAGTCAACAGAAGGGTAAGTAGCAGACTATTCTGTGGCCCCACAGCTCAAAACAGAGGGACATTTCCATTTCCAGGAGATCTAAGAATTTCATCACTGAAACCTCTCCGAAGATGAGCATTCTGGACGCCCTATCTTTACTTCTGCCATCCTTCCCACCATCACATGCATGCAGGTGCTCAAAGCCCTGCTTGTATTGCTGCAAGCAGGAGGGCCTCTCGGTCATCATCACCTCATTCCCCACCCCAATCTAAGGTTTTATTTTTTTGTGCCAGTCCTGGGGCTTGAACTCAGGGCCTGGGTGCTGTCCTTGAGCTTCTGTGCTCAAGGCTAGCACTCTACCACTTGAGCTACAGCTCTATTTCCAGATTTTTTTTTTGAAGATAAGAGTCTCACCAACTTGCCTGCCTGAGCTGGTTCCAAACTGTGATACTCAGATCTTTAGCCTTCTGAATAGCTAGGATTATAAAGTGTGAGCCACCGGCACCCAGCATCCAATCTAAGGTTGGTTTTGCTTGGTTGAGACTTCCCCAGTCCCTGACCTTGACCCCTTGGGCCCTCCAAGTCCTCAGATTCACCAGAGCACGAACATGACCGATCAACCATCAAGCGTCCTCCTAAAACCTGGATTAGATGGGGGGCGGGGCCCCCTGAGAGGAGAAACATCAAGGTCCAGACGCTGGACTCAAGCCCACATTAGGTCAAGGTAGGGGCCTGAGGCTTCAAGGGAAGGACAACACTACACAGATTCAGGAGGTGGTTAATGCAGATCAGAAAGTCAGGATCAGATCGGCTACAGTCCATTTATTACAAAGTCATGACGATGAGTTGATATATAAAAGATCCCTGCCAGCCTCAGTATCCCCACAATAGCTCCACCCATCAGAGCCCCTCCCTCAGGTGCCTTGGATCTGAAAAGTCTCAGATTCGAAGGTCCCCAGCCAGGAGGGCACTGTACCGGGCAGGTGTGAGGGGTAGGTAGGCACCCACACTCTGGTCCAGAATGTAGAGGGGATCAGATAGTGTACTCGGGTCAAAGCCCTCATTTGCCATCCGAACTTTCTGCTGTTTGAAGGTCTCTGTGGTGGCCAAAGCCTCCTGGGGAGGGAAAGGGAGAGGGAATCAAGCTGAAGGCAATTTGCCTGCCCAGCTGCTTCAGATGAGTTGCCTAAAAGTTCTGTTATGAGATTAAATCTGGGGAAAGAGGTCATTAGGTAAAATCAGGGAGGAGGTGGCAGGAAGAGAGAGCCAGGCCTGGAGGAGGAGGAAGGTAAGGAAAGGGAGCCAGGGAATGTGGCTGGGAAAGACAAATTCCTTCTCTTCACAGTGTCTTATGTGGGGGTCCCTTTGTGCGTACCTGGAGCCGTAGGAATCGAGGCTGGGCATACGGTGGCAGGTTCTCAGCAACATGAGCGTAGAGCTGCACAAGATCCAAAGCGTGGGGGGGACGCAGAACCAAGGCGGCCATTCCAGCCTTGCCTTCCTGCCCTGGTGAGTGTGGGAGGCAGTGTGAGCAATTCCATGGCTGGCCTGAAGGAAGGCCGCATACTCCTCTGCACCCAGGCATTGGGGTGGTGGGCCGGGTGCCTCCCCCACCTTCCACACTTAGGCACCTGGCACAGTGACTCCGTAGATGTTCACTTCCTGAAGAAAGTCCAGGGCCTCGAAGACCTTGGCTACCTCAGTGGTGGCCACATTCTCCCCCTTCCACCTGCCAGAAAGCACAGATCTGAAACTGGGAATCGGGAGTCGAGGTCAGAGGTCAGGATGCCAGCCTGTCCTAGAGGTCAGTGTGAATGAGGCCTAAGAATGAGATGGGTGGGATGTGGATCTGGGTTGGAGTGGGAGACTAGTGGGAGACTTGACTCAAGCCTCAAAACCTCTATCTGGAATAAAGAATCGAAAAGGTGGCCTGGGAAGGTGGCTTAGTGGTAGAGTGTTTGCCTTGCATGCATGAAGCCCTGGGTTTGATTCCTCAGCACCACATACATAGAAAAAGCTGGAAGTAGTGCTGTGTGGCTCAAGTGGTAGAGTGCTAGCCTTGAGCACAGAGAGGTTCAGGGACAGTGCCCAGGCTCTGAGTTTAAGCCCTAGGACTAGCAGAGAAAGAAAAAGAAAGGAAGAAAGAAAGAAAGAAAGGAAGGAAGGAAAGAAAAGAGGTAGTCAGGCACCAGTGGCCCATGCCTGTAATCCTAGCTATTCAGGAGGCTGAGATCCAAGGATTGTGGTTTGAAGCCAGTCTGTGAGATCCTTACCTCTAATTAACCACCAAAAAACTGGAAGTGGTGTTGTGGCTCAAAGGGGTAGAGTGCTAGCCTTGAGTAGAAAAAGCTCAGGGACAGTGCCCAGGCCCTGAATTCAAGGCCCCATGCCCAACAATATTTCAGAACGGTATAGAGAATTACCTGAAAGTGTCTCCAGTACGATCATGGAAGCGAAGAAAGCCTTGGTGATCACAGACCAACAGGTCTCCAGTGTTGAAGTAAACATCTCCAGGCTGGAAGATATCCTTCAGCAGCTTTCCCTGGGTCAGCTCTAGGCCCCCAGCATAGCCCAGGAATGGGGACTGCTGGCTCACTGGGGCCACCAGCAGCCCTGGCTCACCTGGCAGAGTCACTGAAGTTAAGAGTGCTCCCGTCCTCGCTTAGGCCTCCCCACTGCAACCTGCTGAGCACCAACCTGGAGATGTGGCCACACAGCGCCCCTGGGGATTACGGACTGGCTCCCCTGTGGTGACATCATAGCGGATCAAAGAGAAGGGGAAGAGGCGCTGGGGGAAAAGGAGATCAGCATGGGGTCACTCCAGCTGCAGAAATGAGCTGCCTTACCCCGCAGCCCTCAGTTCCATGGGGTCTGCCTCTCACCTTGTAAAGCCAGGAAGCACGGCCCACAGCGCCCTGCTGTCCTGTGTAGTTGAAAGTGGCCACGTTGCCCTCAGTCAGCCCATATGTCTCCAGCACCCGCAGGGGCCCAAAACGCCGCATGAATCGCTCCCAGGTGTCTGGGCGCAGCCCACTGCCTACTGCAAGTCGGACCTTATGGCCACGTTCTGCTTTGTTCTAAGGTGAGCGGAAGACAGGTAGAGGATTCAACAACATCAGAATCCTGCCACCCAAAATGAAGTCCTACTCATCATTCCCCAGGACATCTCACACATACACCCCCCTGCACCCCGGCCATGACCTCCTCTGGGCATCCCAAGCCTCAGATGGCTTATGCCGCCTGAGCCTCCTTGCCATTTTCGTCTCCTGGCTCCCTTTCCCTCCAGCTTGCAGACAATGGACTCAGTGTCTCCCACCGTCTATACTGCTCTCTGTGACCCAGGCCTGTGTGAGCAGCGCTCCCCACGCACCGGGGGCTGGTTGACAAGGTATCGGCACAACTCCCCGATGTATTGAAACACTGTCACCCTGTGCCTCTGGCAGTCCTCCCAGAACTGGCCAGCTGAGAACTTGGACTTCAGCACCACCGTGGCCCCTGTCAGATGCAGAAAGAGGGGGACAGTGAGGTCAAGAGCTCACTTCCCACCCAGACACCAGGCTGCCCTGAATGCTGTTCCCTGGGAGTTCCCGAGGCCCATCCATCCTCCGCAGCCCAGGCCCACCTCCTTTTTCACCTGTACCCTCCTTTGCTTTCCAGGCCCAGCTATTCCATTACTGGTAGGAGCCCTACTTTCTTCTTTATTTGCTTCTTTCCCTTGCTCTGTCCCTGTGTGGAGTTCTGTGAATTTTATGATCATCCTAGTTGCTCAGTCTGATCAGGTAAGGTTCCCTACTGTATCCAGGGCCTGCCTACCTTTCCTCTGAAGGACTATCTCCTCTCTACCCTGAAGAACTTAGGTCACATCCCAGCAGGTGTTCACTGGATGAATGAATGGGAGTGGGTGAGGGAGACTGACCAATGCCCAGGCAGCCCACAATGCCCAAAAGGGAGCCAGACATGTGGTAGAGCGGAAGGGCAAGGTAGATCACATCCTCCTGGTGGACCCCGCACAGCTGGTAGAACCCTTGGCACTGCAAGATCTTCAGATGACTGATCCGAGCAGCTTTAGGGAGGCCTGTGGGCATGGCAGGAGGGAGGTGATGGGGAAAGGTATGATGAGTTCCAGGTCCTAGCTCTGTTTATCCCCTGCTGGGTTTCCCCAAGGAGAGGCAGAGACAGAAGGGAGGAGTGAGGCCCTGCTGCCCTGGAAATGTGGGCAGTTGGGGGAAGGTGGGGAAATGATGAGGGGTTGGGAGGGGTGCAGAGAGAGGCGGCGCCTGGCTGGGACGGGTAACCTCTCCTCCAGCCTTGAAAGGGAGTTGAGGAGGTCCCAGTTCCTAGTCCCTGGCTTTTCTCTTCTTTAGTTTCTGGTAAGCCGGAACCTCACCCGTAGTGCCAGAGGTGAAGATGTACAGGCACGTGTCCGTCATGTTCTTGGGGGCAGAGAGGTACCCCGGCACCGGCCCATCCACTTGGGCTGCTGCCTCGGCCAGCAAGTCGCTGATTCCGGCATGGTGGGTTCCAGGGCCTGTAGCCCACAGGTGGAGTCCCATAGCTCTCAGGGCCGGCAGGTCGGGCTCCAGGGACTCCAGAAACTCTAAAAGGAAGACAAGCACAACTCTGAAGCTCCGCTGCCACCCAAGGAAGCTTTCCTACCTCACCCCTAATCCAGTTCTCGGCCCAGCTCGTGGGTGAAGATGGAGAACGTGGACGTCCCATTAAGGGGCTGGGAGCCTGATGCAGCTTGGTCTCTTCGCAAATCCAGAGACTCACATCGGCACCTTGAGAAGATAGTTGGACTCCTTGGGGGAGAATCGGGGAGACTGACAGCCCCGTGGGACCCTGGCTCCCGCCCCGGGCCGCCCCGCCCGGGTCCGTGCCGAGCTCCAGCCCTACCCCGCGCCTTACCTGGCGCCAGCACCAGGGCGCGCGCGCCGCAGCTGCGGAGGCAGTGCAGCAGGGGGCCGCGGCGCAGGGCGGTGGGCACAAAGGCCGTGCGAAGGCCGGCCTTGGCCAGCCCGAACCAGAGCCACAGGAATTCGGGGCTGGCGGGCAGGAGCAGCGCCACGGTCGCTCCGGTTGCTAAAGGGACCGCGGCTCCTCCACCTCTGGCTGCTGCATCTTCTCCACACGCGGCAGGCGCCGCGCCGCTTCCGGTCGTCTCCCCGTCTCCCTCGCCTCGAGCCTCGAGGCTTTTTGTCCCCGCACTCCCCGAGCCCCGGTGGCCTCCAGGTCCCGCGTCCCAGCCCCGCGCACACAGGAAGGCGCGCGCCGCTCGGTTACTCTCGCGCTCCGCCTCCGCGTAGCTAAAGCGCCGCGCACCGTGGATGAGAAAAGTGTGCGCGGGGCGCTGCCGGGCCAGTTGCGCCAGGCGCCAGGCCAGGCTGCAGCCGGCCTCGGGGCTCGCGGGGTCGGCGGCTGCCGCGGCCAGCGCGCGAGCTCGGAGAAGCCTCTTGCAGTGCAGGGCGCGCACCGTGAAGGCCAGGTCTGCCGCGAGCCAGCGCAGTTGAGGCCAGAGGTGCAGCTTCAGTAGCACCAGCGGCAGCAGCAGCAACAGGGGCAGCAAGAGGAGGGTGGCCATGGCACCTCTTCCTCTGCCCTAGCCTCTCGAAAGCACCCCGGGTGGCCCTTCCGAACCACTGGGCCCGTGAGACCGCTCCTCTTCTGGAGCGCGCGTGCGCTGGCACACGCCCCTTCCCACCCAGCCCCGCTCCAGGAACAAGCAGGAGCCCGGGAGAAGGGGAGGGTGGCCCGGGGCCTCCCAGCCCTCCCCTCAGCCTACGCCCCGCCCTAGTTGCGCGTCCTCCCGGACTCCCATTGCTCTCCAGCAGCACCCTGTCAGGGCTTACGCGGTGCTTGCGCCTTCACTCAGCCCGTTTGTGCATTCTGGGGCTTGTTTTCTCCCTTGCATGGACTCAGGCCTCTGGCCGGCACTTCTGTGGAGTCTGGATCTGGGAGCTAGAGCGTTTGGGCAGCAATCCACCTTACTCTAAGTAGTTCCCCACGCGTTGTAGATCAGAAGGTACCACTGTCCTCTCCCAAAAGACTGAGGAACTTGCTTGGGGACCCATTCGATTTTTGCAAGTCTGGGCAAGATTGCCAGACCCAGATGTTCCCTCTGATTGCCAACAACAATAGCAACTCCAACTCCGGGATGCATGGACTACCAGATTTTTGGAGGGACAAAGCACCACCCTTTGGGTGTATTGGGGCCTGCCAGCAAATGCTTTCCACCTAGATTTTAATTGGGGCAGACGAAAATGGGAAGGAGAGAGGAAGGAAGGAGAGGCTTTTTGGTGGTTTATTGTCAAAAGAGGTAGCAGAGAAGGAAGGGAACCCAGCTTCTGCTTTTTTTTTTGTCGGTCATGGGTCTTGAACTCTGGGACTGGGCGCTGTCCCTCAGCTCTTCAGTTTAAGGCAAGCACTCTACCACTTGAGCCACAGCGCCACTTCTGGTTTTCTGGTGGTTACCTGGAGATAAGAGTCTCAAGGACTTTCCTGACTGGGCTGGCTTTAAGCCATGATCCTCAGACCTCAGCCTCCTGAGTAGCTAGGATTATAGGCGTGAGCCGCCAGTGCCCGGCTTAGAACTTAAGAGGCACTTCTGTAGAGGCACTTAACAGGCTGAATTGGAAGAGCTGTCTGTAGTGAGCAAAATGTTCATGCTCAGTTTGCCTCATCTCCCTGACTAGGAGAGAAACAAAGCACAGCTGGTACCTGAGTACCAGCAAGTGGCCAGACTGGAATAGGTTCTCCCATTCCTGAAGTCTGAACTCTCCCCAAGGCAAAACTGTGTCCTTCAAGAAGCAAGGTGAAGCATCCCTTGAAAGTGTGCAGATTTCATGAAGTGGAATGAGCAGGACACTCTTTGGAGGACTGTTATTTTGAGGAGCAACAGCCTGCATGGAGAGGTGCCAGATTAGTGCTTGGCATACCCCTCCAGTGACTCCTGGAGGGCAAAGCCAAGTCCCGCCAGCTCTACACAAAAGGTGGGCAGTGGTGAGGCCACAAGCAGAAGTAACAATTAAACAAGACCACTTACATACAGGATAACAGAAACTTGCACAAAAGACCTTCTGGCTTATTTTACTATCATTTAAAAACAACTTTTAAAATCCGATTATCTCTGCCAACAGGAGAAAAAAAAAAAAGCAAAACCAAAACCAAGGAAATGGGACCATTTGACAGTTCTAAGAAACTTGCCTCTGAGACTTCCCTGGGCTTGGGACAACCCGAGTCTCAGAGGCACAGCACATGGGACCTGGGACATCTGTCAGCCAGATTTTTGCCATCTGCACAGATGGGCACTGACGACATCAAGTTAGATGCCCAATCCACACTGGTGTGGATGGTGACTACCTAACACAAGAATGAGCAGAAGGGACGCCCACGTACTGCGCATCTGCTCTCATCCAGCTTCTCTGCCCAGCAGCCACTTGGTTATTTCCCTTCTCTTTGGAGACTGGGGAAGGGGCTAAGGAAGGAGCAAAAGGCTGAAGACTTCCACCGTAGTCTGGTTTTGTGCAGCCCCTGGTTCTCCCAAGAGCCCAAAGATCGCTGAGAGCAGCAGTGTGGGCCCTGAGGCCCCAGGAGAAGAGAGGCAGGGTGGGAGTTGCATGGCAGCTTTCAGGCTAGATCACAGCAAGTCCGTCTTTCCCCTGGTGAGGAGAGTTGGGGTTTCTCCTGCATTTCCCCAGCCCTGTAACCCTGGGGTCCACCAGGTAAAAGAGTCTAGCTGGGGCAGGACAGGTACAGGGCCTCAGTCACTGTCAGAGCCCACTGCAGAGGATCCTTTTCGTTTCCGTTTGGTGGGCTTTGGTTTTGTGTCTTCTTCCTCCTGGAAGACAAGGGTAGGGCAATTACTAGTGCTGGAGAGCTGTGGCTTCCCCCTGTCCATACCCACAGCTCCTTCTCCAGCGCAGTGGGTGTAGGGCTCACCGAGGCACTGCTGGAGCCTGACTCTTCTTCAGCATTGGGGGGCTGAGTGGCATTCTTTCGACTCCGAGGGCTGGACAGCGCTGCTTTTCGTCGGCTCTTGGGTGGCTTAGTGGAAGAGTCCTCGTACTCCTCTGCCAGGGAGAAGAGATCGCTGAACCTAAGGGGAAGAACAGCAAGCGTGAGCCTGGGCCGCCTCCTGTCCTGTTTCCTCTCAGGTCACCATCTGTTTCTCTTCAATCCCAGGTCTTGCTAGCCATTAAGCTCACTGTCCCCAGCAAGCCTCTTCTCCCTCTGCAGCCCACTCGTGACCCTTTCCCAAGGCTGAAAATGGAAGAAGCCTCACTTCATCTTGTGGGCTTCATCACAGCTCGCCTGGACATGCTGCAATGCCTGGAGGATTGGTGTCTGGCTGAAAACTAGACAGAGCAGGAAAGAAGAGTAGGAACAGCAGTTAGGTGTCTGGGGACTCACTAAATGGCACCAAAGGTTATTTTCTTCCAGAGGTTTAGATTCTGGTCCTAGGTGTCCTGCCCTTGTCCCTGGCTGACTTCAGGGGATCTGAGCCAGGGCAGCACATGATAGGCCAGAGAGGGGCACATACAGTTTTGCTTGGTATTGGTCAGGTTGAGCCGCAGGTTGTCCAAGTGCTCCAGGATTTGTTCCAGAGTTAACTGGGCCAGCTTGCTGCTAGAACTCCTCAAGCTGTAATGAGGGTCATGATAGTGTATGAGTTAGGGGAGGCCTCTGGGGTTCCAAGTACCCTCCACCCACTGGGGTCACTCCTTAGGGCAGAAGGTTTGGGTGGGATGAGGGAAGTTTTCCGCTATGTAGTACTAGGCAGGGAGAGCGGGGACCACAGTGGTCCTGCATGCCACATTTCTTCACACCACTAGATGTCACCCACAAACCAAGCTAGGATAGCATGGGCAATGTGTGTGTGTGGGGTGCAGGGGACCAGTGGTCACTGCAGACAGCCCTGTTCACACAGCAGGGAACCGGGGAGAGCATCACACCTCTGCCTCTTGCGAGGGAGGCTGTTGTTCTTAATGAGGAGGGACTTGATGTGCTCTGCCAGCAGCTCGTCGTGCTTCATGCACCAGTGCCGCAGGATGCTGGTGGTGAACTGATCGTCCGGATGGCAAGGCCGGCTCAACACCATCTTTACCATTTCCTCACTGGGCCTGGGAGTAAGAAGGGTGCTGAGTGCTGGCCTTGGGAACTGCTGGATGGCTCCTACTTATTACTTCCCAAATCTCTGCCTCCCGCCTGGCCCCACCCCAATTCCATGGTGGCTTCCTTCTCTCACATCCCTCTCCTGGTTCTTTTTCTTTTTTTTTTTTGGTCAGTCATGGGGCTTGAACTCTGGGCCTGGGCGCTGTCCCTGTGCTCTTCAGCTTAAGGCAAGCGCTCTACCCTTTGAGCCACAGCGCCACTTCTGGTTTTCTAGTGGTTTTTTGGAGGTAAGAGTCTCACAGACTTTCCTGCCTGAGCTGGCTTTGAACTGTGATCCTGACATCTCAGCCTCCTGAGTAGCTAGAATTACAGGCGTGAGCCACCAGTGCCCAGCTTCTCCCCTGGTTCTTTTGGGGCCAAGGGATGCCTGGTTTCATCCTCTGCAGAAACCAGGAGGTGAGAAGTGAGATTCGTCCATTCTGTGGTGGGAGTTGTGCATGTGTATTTTGAGAAGGAAGTCCAAAGCAAATCCTCTACCTTCCTTAGGAACCACCAGGAAAGGGCCTGGTTGCCAGAAGATATGTGGTATGTGGATGGTCCCCACCTGGCCCTGCTGGAGCCGTAGGCCAGCCTGCTATCTAGTTGGAGGGAGGGAAGGTCAGCGAACTAAAACTATAGTCCTCTTTTTTTTATTTTTTTGGGTCCTGTTGTGGGGCCTGAACTCTGGACCTGGGCGCTGTCCCTCAGCTCTTCAGCTCAAGGCTAGCGCTCTACCACTTGAGCCACAGCGCCACTTCCAGCTTTTTTCTTTTTGCTTATGTGGTGCTGAGGAATTGAACCCAGGGCCTCAGGCATGCAAGGCAAGCACTCTACCACTGAGCCACCTTCCCAGCCCACTATAGTCCTCTTATGGCCCTCAAAACTTCCCACTTCCTCCAGGGCACTATAACAGTAGTGTCTCAGATAAAAGAAAAGGCTGCTGCCACCTAGGTTGCTCATGTGTCCTGGGCACCATCACTGGCAGGCAGTGCAGTGGGCCCAGCTGCTTCTGCTTTGCACAGGATGAGGGATAAGGATGGGTGTGACCCCTTTACTCTGACCCTTTCTCCCTTTGGATGAGCTTGTGGTGGCGTGAGGAGGGGGTGGGGGAAGGGGGGGAACAGGAGGCACCAGGATTAGAACTGCTGTGGCAGCAGGAAACAGGGATGTCCGGTCCCCACCTCTCCACCTCTGAGGGCAGCTCCTGGTGGGCAGGGGGGTAAAGTCAGAGGAAGCCCAGTCCCAGGGGAGTTGCTTATTTGTAAGGCATGCTGGGGCAGAATAGCAGATGTCGATAGGAAAAAACAGGGCAAAAGGAGCAGAGCAGGAGCCCTTTAAATGAAAGTATCTCTTGGGATGCTGGGATGGGCGCTAAAGAGCATTGAGGTGAAACTTACTTCTCTCTCCGGAGCTGAAGCAGTAGGCAGGACAGGGCTTCTGGATGCTCTGTGGGGAAAGGGGACAGGCTGTTCAGGACAGTGTATCATTCTGGGAAGGAATTCAGGCACTCCTCCTATCCGCCAAACAACAGCCAATGGAAGAGCAAGTATCATCTCATCATCAAGACTCAACAAGAATCCACTTGAGCCCCACTCAGCTCACAGTGGGTCTTCAGGGCTCTCTAAGGGGCCCATTCTCTGCCTTGATATTGGGAACCAGGGCTTCTGGACCTTCCCAGCCCTCAGCCCTACTCACCCTTGTATTTGAGATGCTGCAGGATGGGGATTATGGTCTCCAGGGGGATGTTGTGGGCCAGGAAAAGTTGCCAGGCACAATACTGTTCAAAGGTTTCCCAGTCCAGGCTCTGGACTAGAAGACACAGAGAAAAAACTTTTGTCTCTCACACATACACACACATATACAGTCATGCACATGGCTCTTCCATTGGTTAACAGCACCCCAAGTGGGTATGGTACAGGGGTAGTGACCCTAAACCTAGATCTTTCTCTTCAACAGCACAGATTTCCAGTCTTTGTTTTCTACCAACCTTGAGGTTGGAGGAATAGGCTAAACCTTCCCATTCTACACAGCAAGAAGCAGACCCAGCTCAAGACCCATAGCAGGCCAGGATGCCATTCTACCCCTTAACTTTCCAGTCCCACAACCACTTCCCTATCATTGGAAAAAAATACAAGGCCTGTGCCCTGTCACAGGTATCTAAAAGAACTGGTCCCTTACTGAGAATGTTGAGGACTGAGTCTTTTCGAAACATGACCAGGTTCCCCATCATCACGTGGCAGACGAGCTCCTGGAGCTGTGAGGTGGAGGGAAAAGACAGATCCATTAGCTCTATAAGAGGTCAGAGGCCAGTGTGGAACATAAGGCATAACAAACAATACAAGCTCAGTCTCTGAAGATGAAGGGGACTGGTAAAATAGCAATATGCCTGAGTGGGAACCACAAAGCTATTTGGGACAAAAATACTACCCATATCCTAATGTTAGAGGTAGAAAAGACAACTTCTCCACCTGTCCTTATAGTGTGACTCTAAGAGGAGGAGGATGCTAGGAAACTGGGCTCTGGACTTAGGTGGAGGTAAAGAAAGGTCAAAGAAGGAGGACTCTTAGTGATACGTTTCTGTTTTGTGAATGGGAACTGAGTGGACAAGACCAGGCCCAAGACAGATCCAAGCAAAGCTACAATCTCTTAGGGTCCTCTGCAGGGTGGAAAGATCAAGCAGAAATGGCCCAACTGTTTTTACTGAGTCAAGAAAAAAGCCAGTTGAGCACTTAAAACAAAAAACCCCAAACCTCTGTTTCCCACAGCTTTCCCTGTAGAAACAGGAGGTTCCACAAAGAATATGGAGTACAGGAAACCTCAGGCAACATGGGCCTCATGCCGGCCTGCCTCCCTCGGACTCCACTCTTCATTCCTACAGTGTACTCAGCCGACCAGAAGGAAGAGTGCCTGCAAAACACATAACTGCGGGCCTCAATGTTCACCTGTGCAGAGTCAATAACAGCTACGATCATGTTCAGCAGCTCCCCACTCCTCAAGGTTTCATCTGGAAACTAGAAAAAGAGAGTGAACTAGGCAGGAATTCAAGGTGGACCTATCATAACCCATCCATGCCCCTCTTCTTTATCACAAGCCAGGAGTCTAGCTGGGGCAGTCAAACATGAATCCCCACACAAATACCTAACCAGAGATCCAAGAGCTATGAAGCTGGGATTCTAACTTGTTAAGGCTCCAACTTCTGTTACCTGTGTGTGCACATCATGAAGGAGGCATGTGTAGGGAGAGAATGAGAGACTGAGAGCTAATAGGGACTGGACAGGTAGACAGGTTCTGTGTGGGAGAGGCAATAACACAAACGTCTGTAACCCTGACAGCACAGCAATCCAACCTATCTAGAATCTCAGCCAGAGAAGGTGAGAGAGCACATGACAGCTGTGAGGAGTGTGTAGGGTAGGCAGGTCCCATTTGCAGAGGTAGCAAGCAGGGAGCGAGGCACCCTGTGGTGGCCTTACACCCTTCCTCCCTCCTGGCTTGGCTGAGATCACACTTCCTCCTGTCATGTTTACCACGCCTTGGGTCCTCATTTCCCTCTTCTTGGGAACTTTTATCAAGAGGAAGAAGAGCTGATACCTCTTCCTTATCCCAGTTCTTAAAGACTTGTAATGAAGCAGAGGAAAGGAAAATAAGCTTCTGCTACTTGAACTATGAGAGAATCTACGGGCAAGCCACTTTCAGATTGTAGGAGGGCTTAGGAGAAATGAACAAGGATCTGGCTTGAGGGAACTGTCCTGGGTCCAGAAGATGGGGCCAAACCCATTAAGTTCAGCTAAAGTTTAACTAGAGTTAAACTGAAGGATAAGAATTCTGTGAGCTTCAGAAGATTTTCAAACTTTAACAAGGAGGTGGAGACTGGGCATTGGTGACTCATACCTGTAATCCTAGCTACTCATGAGGCTGAGATCTAAGGATCAATCTTACAAGCCAGTCTGGGCACACAAACCTTAAACTCTTACGCCCAATTAACTAGCAAAAAGCCAGAAGTCAAGGCACGGCTTAAGTGGCAGGGTGTCAATTGTGAGCAAAAAAAGCTGAGCGTGAGCTGGGCACTGGTGGCTCATGCCTATAATCCTAGCTACTCAGGAGGCTGAGATCTGCAGGTCTCAATTTGATGCCAGGCAGGGTAAGAAAGTCTGTGAGGTTCTTATCTCCAGATAATCACCAGAAAAATCAGAAGTGGGACTGTGTCTTAAAGTGGTAAAGCATTAGCCTTGAGCAAAAGAGCTCAGGGACAATACCTAGGCCCTGAGTTCAAGCCCCATCTCTATCTCTTCTCTCTCTCTCTTATGCGCACGTGCACACGCGCGAGTGCACACATACACACACACACGAATAGGAAACAACTGTGGTGAGGGAAGCAATGAGGTCAATGAGGGCTGTGTATCCCACTCTGGGTATATGTTGCCCTTCCCTCAGCACAGATACAGATGCAAGCACTGACCTCTGTGTAGATAGAGGGCGTGAGATGGCACAGCAGTCGCACATCATCCTCCTGGCAGGCCTTCATGTCCATCATTAGGCAAGTGTGAAGATCACCTAGCTGAGTGGCCTGGGCAAAAGACTCATAGAGGTTCATCTTCCCTGCGGCGGCTTTGCTGCAAGACCAGCTGGATGTAAGCCAACATTCTGACCCCAGCATAAGAGCTTGACATTTTTTTTTTCTTTTTTTTTTTGTCGGTTGTGGGGCCTGAACTCTGGGCCTGGGCGCTGTCCCTCAGCTCTTCAGCTCAAGGTGAGCGCTCTACCACTTAAGCCACAGCGCCACTTCTGGCTTTTTCTGCTTATGTGGTGCTGAGGAATCGAACCCAGGGCCTCATGCATGCAAGGCAAGCGCTCTACCACTGAGCCACCTTCCCAGCTCCTCCTTTGTTTTTTTTTCTCTCAAGGTTTGAGCCATTCTATCATTTCTAGCTATTTGCTGATTTATCAGAGATGAGAGTTTCTGATGTGTCTACTTGTGCTGACTTGCAACCTGGATCATCAGATCTCAGCCTCCTAAGCAGCTGGGATTACAGGCACGAGCCAGCTAGTGCATGTCTGGTTCTGTTTTTTGTTTTTGCCAGTCCTGGGGCTTGAACTCAGGGTCTGGGTACTGTGCTTGAGCTTCAGCCACTGTGGCTTGAGCCACAGCATCACTTTTCTGTGTATGTGATACTGAGGAATTGAACCCAAGGCAAGCACTCTACCACTGAGCCACGTTCTCAACCCTTGGTTCTGGTTTTTTTGAAGTAAGATTTTCCTGTGTAGCCTAAGCTGACCTTGAACTCATGATCTTCTCACCTCCACTTCATAAATGCTGAGATTATAGGCACATATCACCATGTCTAGTCACCTTTTTTTTCTTTTTTGGCAGTCATGGGGCTTGAGCTCAGTGCTTGAGTACTATGCCTGAGTTCTTTTGCTCAAAGCTAGCACTCTATCACTTTGAGCCACAGCTCCACTTCTGGTTTTTGAATGGTTAAATGGAGATAGTCTCACAGACTTTCCTGCCCAGGCTGGCTTTGAACTGGGATCTCCGAACTGAGAGGCTCAGATCTCAGCCTCCTGATTAGCTAGGATTACAGACACAAGCCACCAGCTCCTGGCTCACTCTTATGTTTTAAAGGGTACCACAATAAAAAAAAAAAAGTGGCTCATATCTGCAATTCTGGCACTCAGTAGGCTACGGCAGGAAGATCTTGAGTTTGGGGTCATTCTGTGTTACACAGAGAAATCTTGTCTCTACCTGGGTATGGCAGCCCATACCAATAAGTAGTAGGTAATCCCAGTACCTGGGAGGCTGAGGCAGAAGGATTATTTGAGCCCAGGAGCTCTAGTTCTAGGTTAGTATGGGCAACATAGGAAGACCTTAACCTTATCTTAAAAAAAAAATGGCAGACATTACTAAACTAGGAACCAGGCAAAGAAATATGATTTTTTAATGGGAATGGTGGCACATGCCTGTAATCTCAGCTAAATGGGAGAACAGGAAGATCATAGTTTGAGGCTAGCCTGGGTAAAAGTTAGGAAGACCCTGTCTTATCTCAAAAAACCAAGTTAGATGGCTGGCATGGTAGCTCACATCTGCTCCTAAACAGGCAGAGAGGATAACAATTGTAGTTTGACATAGTAAGATCTCATTTCAAGCAATAAGCTTGGTGTACTGGTCCATGTCTGTCATCACAGTTACTCAGGAGGACATAGATAGGAGGATCTCAGTCTAAGATTGGCCCTGGACAAAATTATGAGACCCTATCTGAAAGATAACTAAAGCAAAAACCAAGTAGAGGTGTGGCTTAAGTGGTTGAGGACCTGCCGAGCAAGCATGAAGTCTGAGTTCAAACCCCCAAACAATACTCAAGAATACCTGTAATCCTAGCTAGGCAAAAGGGGGAGATACAAGGAACATTGTCTTGAGACTGACCCAGGCAAAAAGCACGAGACCTTATCTGAAAAATAACTAAAGGAAAAGGGCTGGATATGTGCCTCAAGTGGTAGATCCTTATCTACCACTTGTATTAGTAGGCCTTGAGTTCAAACCCTAGTACTGACAACAAAAAAGAAAATGTAAACTCTCATATATTGGTGTTAGGAGTGTAAAATAGTTGCAGTCCCTTTGAAAAAGTTTGGCAGTTTCTTCCAATGTAAAAAGGGAGTTAATAATATATGACCCTGGCTGGAAATGGGGCTTAGTGGTAGAGTGCATGCCTAGCATACATGAAGCCCTGGGTTCAATTCCTCAGTACCAGATACACAGAAAAAGCCAGAAGTGGTGCTGTGGCTCAAGTGGTAGAATGCTAGTCTTAAGCAAAAGCAGATCAGATACAATGACCAGGCCCTGAATTCAAGCCTCAGGATTGGCAAAAAGAAAACAAAGAAGAAAAAAAATAAATATATATGACCTCTCAGACTAAGCTGCCATTTGTTGTCTTATCCTATGATACATGCCCAAGATGAATGGTTACAGAAGCTCCATTTTTTGTTTTTGTTTTTACCTCTGGGCCTGGGCGCTGTCCCTCAGCTCTTCAGCTCAAGGCTCGTGCTCTACCACTTGAGTCACAGCGCCACTTCTGGCTTTTTTCTTTTTAATTATGTGGTGCTGAGGAATCGAACCCAGGGTCCTATGCATGCAAGGCAAGTGTTCTACCTCTGAGCCACCTTCCCAGCCCCAGAAGCTCCATTTACAATAGGTAAAGAGTAGAAACAACTCAAACATCCATCAACAAACAAAATGACTAAAAAAAAATATGTATATAGCAAGTCAGGCGCTGGTTGCTCACAACTATAATCCCAGCTACTCAGGAGGTCGAGATCTGAGGATTGCAGTTCAAAGCCAGCCAGGGCAGGAACATACATGAGACTCTTTTTTTTTTTTTAATTTTGTTGTAGGGCCTGAAATCTAGTCCTGGGCACTGTCCCTCAGCTCTTCAGCTCAAGGCTAGCACTCTACCACTTGAATCACAGAAGCACTTTCAGCTTTTTCTGCTTTTGTAGTGCTAAAGAATCGAACCTAGGACCTCATGCATGCAAGGCAAGCACTCTACTACGGAGCCACCTTCCCAACCCCATCCATGAGACTCTTTTTTTTTTTTTTTTGGGTCCGGTCATAGGGCCTGAATTCTGGGCCTGGGCGCTGTCCCTCAGCTCTTCAGCTCAAGGCTAGCGCTCTACCACTTAAGCCACAGCGCCACTTCCGGCTTTTTTCTTTTTTCTTAAGTGGTGCTGGGGAATCGAACCCAGGGCCTTAGGCATGCAAGGCAAGTGCTCTACCACTGAGCCACCTTCCCAGCCCCCCATGAGACTCTTATCTCCAATAAAATACCAGAAAACTGGAAGTGGTGTTGTGGCTCAAGTGGTAGACCACTAACCTTGAGCTGAAGAGCTGAGGGACAGCTCCTAGGCCCAGAGTTCAAGCCCCATGACCGACAAAAAGGAAAAAAGAAAAAAACTGTATATTGATCATTCAGCCATAAAAAGGATTGAAAAACTGATACATTACATGATTTTTTAAAACATGTTAGGTGAAAACAGTCACAACAGACCATATAGTCTATGACTCCATTTATATAATATATCCAGAGTAGTATTCTCTATTAATTGAGACAGAACACCATCCAGGGGTTTCCAGAGCATGGATAAAGGGGAGAATGAAAAAGTGACTGATTCTGAGTATGGGATTTCTTAGGGGGATAATGAAGTGTTTTAAATCCAACAGCAGAGTCTGGGAAGGATAGAAGACAAAAAAAAAAAAAAAAGACAGGATGATTCTGATCAAAAGGCATTGTGTCCACAAATGGACCATATTAATAATAAGGCAGACAGAAGTAGTATTGTATGACTAAATACCACTAAACTATACTTTAAAAGGGTCAATTTTATGGTATGTGATAGTGTACCTCAACAAAGCGATTAAAAAAAAAATAACTGAGGGCTGGGAAGGTGGCTCAGTGGTAGAGTGCTTGCCTGGCATGCATGAGGCCCTGGGTTTGATTCCTTAGCACCACATAAGCAGAAAAAGCTGGAAGTGGTGCTGTGGCTCAAGTGTTAGAGTGCTAGCCTTGAGTGGAAGAGCTGAGGGACAGTGCCCAGGCCCAGAGTTCAGGCCTCATGACTGACAAAAAAAAAAAAGCTCCTGCTTATAATCATAGCTACTCAGGAAGTTCTGAGGATCATGATTTGAAGGTAGCCTAGGCAGACAAATCTGACTCTCTTATCTCCAATTAATCCCGAACAAACACTTATGATCTTGGCCACGGTACCTCACCTCAGGCTCAAAGCAAGGGATCCAGCTGACCCTGGACTGAAACCTCTGAAACAGTGAGCCAAAATCAACTTTCCCTCCTTTAAGTTGTTCATCTTAGGTATTCGTTAGAGTAGTGAAAAAAACTAAGATAGCAGCCAGTCACTGGCGGTTCATGCCTGTAATCCTAGCTACTCAGGAGGCTGAGATCTGAGGATTGAGGTTCAAAGCCAGACTGAGCAGGAAAGTCCACGAGACTCTTATCTCCAATAAACCACCAGAAAACCAGAAGTGGCGCTGGGGCTCAAGCAGTAGAGCACTTGCCTTGAGCTGAAGAGCACTGAAGAGCGCAGGAACAGCGCCCAAGCTCAGAGTTCAAGCCCCATGACCGACAAAAAACAAACAAAAAAACCTAAGATAGCATGCATGAGTTTATTCCCAACATCAAAACAAACAAAACACTGAACAAACAATATATAGACTGTGCTGGTGTTGGCAGCCAAGGATGGGGATGATGTACTAGAGAAAAGCAAGCTCTCTGGGGCTGGGAAGGTGGCTCAGTGGTAGAGTGCTTGCCTTGCATGCATGAGGCCCTGCGTTCCATTCCTCAGCACCACATAAGCAGAAAAAGCCAGAAGTGGTGCTGTGGCTTAAGTGGTAGAGCACTAGCCTTGAGCTCAAGAGCTCAGGGACAGTGCTCAAGGCCCAGAGTTCAAGCCCCACAACGAACGAAAAAAAGGAAAAAGAAAGAAAAGCAAGCTCTCACTGGGTGCTGGTGGTTCACGCCTGTAATCCTAGCTACTCAGGAGGCTGAGATCTGAGATCATGGTTCAAAGCCAACCCAGGCAGGAAAGTTCATGAGACTCTTATCTCCAATTAACTACTAGAAAACTTTGGAAGTGGTATTGTGGCTCAAGTGGTAGAGCACACACCTTGAGCTGACAAGCTGAGGGATAGATTTCAAGCCCCACAACCGACAAAAAAAAAACAAACCCAAAAAACAGAAAAGAAAAGCAAGCTCTCCAGCATGTGCCCTGACACCTTGAGAAAGACAGACTACACTCACCTGGCCCGCAGGTAGTAGAGCAAGTGATAGCCAATTTTGGGCTGCTTCTGATATAGCTCAGAGAGAAGGTCCAAAAGCAAAGAAAAGCTGCTGTTGTCCTCCTGCATCTGGCACAGGTTCCTGAAGACAGGTGGGAAGAGAGGCATTAGTCAGGGCCAGCTCTCCTAAGGAGTTTCTGGGGCAGCAGGGACTGTCTTTCCATTGCATATCTCCTTCCTCCTCCTCCCTGGCAAAGGGAGCCCCATGAGACAGGACAGAGTCCTATGTGTGCTGTTAAGGATGGAGGGCAGAGCAGACTCTTTTTAGCTAGGTGCTTACCTAAATATTAGGTAGAGAGGCTTCCCCACAGACTCCTCCAAGGACCTACAAGAGAGGGTTACATTTGAGCATCCATGTGAGAGGAGGGTGGCTACAGGCAGGCGAAATGGCAGGAGGAGGCATCTAGCCTGCTCCTTTCCTACCAAAAGGCAAACTTCCTGCTTCCTAGCGGCTTGAAATCATAGAAAACTGTCTCTTAACATGGAACGACCATCTGAGGTTGTCACCTTCAGGGAGAGTCCAGACCAGGATCCAATCTCATTTGAAGCAGCAAAGATTAGACTACTGAGCTAGCAGCAGGGCTAGAAACAGAATTGAGATGCTAATCTACTGAACAGTCCACTTTGGATGCAACAGGCAAAAATAAACCCTCATCCTCATTACAATGAAGGAATCAGACCATCATCAATAGAGTATTTTTTTCAAGTCCACAGCAAGGTGCTTCTTGAACTTGGGTTATAAGAGCACTCTTCTGACTCCTGAGGCCCCAGGGATCAGGGAAGTTGAGCCTTACTCCTCAGTGACCTCTTCGGGAAGCACCTCCCCTCGGAAGTGGGCCTTGAAGAGCTCCTGCAGACAGGAAGCAAGGACAGACAGCTGCTCCGAGTCAAAGTCTTCCTGGTAGTGAGACAAGGATGAGGAGGGGTTATCAAGACCTAGACCAGAGCCTTACTGCTTTCCTGCCCCTCCCCCAGAGGCTCTGAGTTCATCTTCTGCCACCTCTTGAATTAGCTAGCTCCCCAACCCCCATCAGAGAAGACATCTAGGGAGGACAGGGAATGAGATTTCCCATTTGCATGGAGAGCTCTAAGTTGGACTGGCTGAGTTGCTTCCTCCCTAAGGGACTGGGTTCCTCCTCACCTCCAGGACCTGGTCCACGATTTCCTGCATGACCTCACACTGGGCCTCCGTATCACTGCAGTACAGAAGTGAGAGGAAATCCCAGGGACATAAATGATAGCAGAGGGCAGGACATACATCCACAACAGTGTGCACAAGCACACGCACATACACAGAGACAAAACAAAGGAGCTCTGTGTAAAATCCTAGCTTGGGTGGGGGAGGCTAGGGGCATAATCTGTTGCTCTCTGGGCAGGGGCCCAACACAAAGGGAAATCCCCATCCATCCTGCTTCTCAGAGGCTCTTATCCACAGTCTCAGAAGTCGTAACCTGGGATGTTAGGGAACAGGGCTGCTCATTTCCAGCCTATACTCCCCAACTTAAGTGCTGAAGACACTTCCCATGAAGCTCTAATTACCTCTCCATATACCCCAACCCATTTCCCTCCAAGCCCCAACATCCTGCCACACCCACACAGTAGCTGGGAGAACCTGCACTGGACCTCTCTAGGAGGGGAACAGAATCTATACCCACTTTCCCTTCTGTAGCTGGAGCACTTTGTCCCTTAGAGATTCATCCAACTGGTCAAGGTAAGGGGTAATATCAACTGGCTCCTCCACAACTGTCTCCTTGATGGGGTGGAATCGAAACTCTCTCTTCTTCCCTGAGGGAGAAATTGAGGAAAGAAGTCAATCTTCCCAGACATCAGCACCAGAGAGACTCAAGTGACCATTCGTCCCTTCCCCAGAACCCTCAGTGCGTAGCTGTTCACTCAATGCTGGGAGTACCTGACTGCACATGTCCCATTTCTTACTGTGCAATGTTCAGGAACTGTGTTTTTTTTCTGACTGTTTAGTGCAGGGCTCTGCACTCTTGCATTTCACCCAGTAACCTTGTTAACACAATTAACCCAGAGGGACAAAGGTGGTATGATAGCAGATAGCAGGTAACTTGTTCCTATAATCTTATAGGGCTGCCACAACCCAACTACACCCCACTACTAGTCTTACCTTTGCTATTGAGATCTTCCTCATCATCACTGAAGGCTGCCTCTGCGTTGTCATAGCAACTCTCATCCTTATCTGACATATGGTTGTCCATTTCCATGGAAACTGGCTCCTCAATTTTGACTGGAGTAAAGAGAGAAAGACCCCTAATGGGTCCCTGTGCCCTCCAGTATGCCCATGCTTCTGGGAAGGGAAGACTAGAGGGCAATGGGAGAACATGCAGCTTGTGACCTAAATTAAATACTGATCATAGAGACAAACCTCTTGACCTCAAAATCTGCCATGGTCTGTAGGGAGATAGTGCTAGAAAGAGGAATAGCTCAGGTAATGAATCTATGCTCAGTGAATAGAATAAGGCTGGGATAGTCTCAGTGCTCCTTTAACTTAAAATCAAGTTGGGATAATGCTTGGCCTTGGCTCTCACCCCAAAACAAAGTATGGGAGGCAAAGTAGGGGTGGTAGTTGGGAATCGGGCCTAGCTTAGGGCTAGGAAGACAGAAGAGATAATGTTAAAGGGAGAAAACATCCATGAAAGTGTTCTTACTGAAAAAAGGTTAATAAGAGAAAAAGGTAAGAGTTATGAGAGCAAAAACAATTACTAGGGGGCTGAGAAGGTGGCTTGCCTTGCATGTCTGAGGCCCTGGGTTTGATTCCTCAGCACCACATAAGCAAAAAAAGAAAAAAGCCAGAAGTGGCCCTGTGGCTCAAGTGGTAGAGCGCTAGCCTTGAGCCGAAGAGCTGAGGGACAGCGCCCAGGCCCAGAGTTCAGGCCTTATGACAGGACCCAAAAAACAACAAAAACAAAACAAAACAAAAAACAATTACTAGGATGTCAAATAGGATTAGATGTTTTCTCTCTACTAATAAGAGAGAAAATAATAACAAAAATGAAGTTGGAGGGCTGGAAGTTGGCTCAGTGGTAGAGCGCTTGCCTTGCATGCACGAGGCCCTGGGTTCGATTCCTCAGCACCACATAAGCAGAAAAAAAAAGCTGAAAGTGGCGCTGTGGCTCAAGTGGTAGAGCCCTAGTCTTGAGCTGAGGAGCTGAGGGACAGTGCCCAGGCCCAGAGTTCAGGCCCCATGACTGGACCCCTCCCCGCCAAAAAATAAATGAAGCTGGAGAAGAACAAACTGAGATGGACAGACACATGGAGTTATCGAAGGGGAAAACTTCCAGGGACAATAGCCTAAGCACACCTCCAGTCTAAACCTTAAGATGCTTTCAGCTCCTTTCCTCCCTCCTTCCTTCCTCTCTCTTTTCTGTGCTTGTCCTAGGGCTTGAACTCAGGGCTTGGGCGCTGTCCTTGAGCTTTTTTGCTAAAGGTCAACACTTTACCACTTGAGCCACAGCTCCATTTCTAGCTTTTTGGTGGTTAACTGGAGCTAAGACTGTCCTATGACAGGTTCTCCTGCCTGAGCTGGCTTCAACCATGATCCTCAGATCTCAGCTGCCTGAGTAGCTAGGATTACAAGCGTAAGCCACCAGCACTTGGCTTTCTCTTTCTCAGGTTCTCTTTGTGTGTGTTAGTACTGGGGCTTGAACTCAGGATCTCACACTTTTACTCAGTATTCTTACTCAAAGCTGATGTTCTACCACTTGAATCATACCGTCAATCCAGCATTTTGCTGGTTAACTATAGCCATCTATAGTTATACAGTCATACAGAATAGTCATTATACAGACTATTCTGCTTAGGCTGGCTTCAAATTGGAATCCTCTAGTTCTCAGCCTCCAATGTATTATGGGCCTGAGCTACTGGTACCTGGCTTCATTTCTCTTCTGATACAGGTCAAAGAGTGGGAGAGCTTCCATAGGTGGAGAGGGAGAACTGCAGAACTCAGGAAATTTCTCTCGAAGCATACCTTCCACGGGTGGAGAGGGAGAACTGCAGAACTCAGGAAATTTCTCTCGAAGCATAGCTCGCAGCTCTTTATCCAATTTAGGGTTGTCAAATAGGGGGGCCAAGTGTCTAATGGGAAACACAAATAAGCTCAGTAACAGAACTCCTTGTTTCTAATTCAACATGGAGGTAAAGAAAGTTGTCTAAACCCAATCAGTATAATTGGACCACCCTCCAATCCTTCACAGGGGTGCCTGTGGGATAGAAAGCACTTGAAACCCTTTTTAATGCTGGCAAAAGAGATATTCCTCTACAAGTCAAGAGGACACACTCCCGGCAGGAGAAGGTGAAGCTGTGCTTTTTACACCTGTCAGAGAAAAGGAACAGCAGTGGTATAGCATTACTTGGATACCCATGGCCTGGATGGGGCTATACCTAATAGTAAGAAATGGAGAATTGCCTCTCCCCAGCCCCAATCCCCTACACAGACATTTCTTACGCCAAAACCCGTTTCTCCACAATGTGGTTGAGGGAAGAAAAGACACCCTGTCGCACATGGCCCTCCAATGGTGGATAGAAGTTGGGAATGATCTGGAAGGGGAAGAAGTAGAAAGAATAAGCATAGGACCCTCTAGTCACAGTTTTCTGAATTTGATCTAAAAAGCTGCTGTGGCTTTGGTCAGGTGACACTGAGACCTATGGTGGCAAAGAGAACCACAGTGTTCTGGACCACTCTAAGCCACAAAGTCAGGACTAGACAGGACACTTACTGGACCCAGCTGCTCCTCGAGGAGACTAAATCCTACCTTGAGTTATCATCCTGCCACTGAGAAACCCCTATGGAAACAAGGACCAATCCAGCTGCAGACAGTGGGGAATAAATACATTTGCTAACTTGGGGGTAGAACTCATAACCACTTCTGCTCCCACAATGACCCCTGCAGAGACTCCACTGTTAGTGGAGATACACCTAACTTTGCTCATCCAGCAACCAAGAGGAGAGAGGGCCATACAACTTACACGACACATGAAGTCCAGGAGTGTGGCAGTGATGGCTGGGTGCGGCTTCATGGAGTGATGCATGACCAGGATGGCTGGCTCTAGAGAACATGGAAGTAAAGGGCCCTCTACATTAGAAACTGTTTCCATGTCCAAAAATGGATGTCTACCTATGAGTGACTCTGGGAAATGTATGTCTACTACTCATATTCTTACTGAAAAGACCCAAGAAAATCAACTCCCATTTCGTTTCCCTTCTTGTCCTTAGCATTAAGCTCGGAGAAGTGTGGTAGGAATAGAGGAAAAGCAGAATGTGGCATACTTTTCCTCTACCTAGACCCTCCTCACCATGCCAAAGCCCAAACATAAAGATGTGAGAAGCGGGTGGGATGATTGCTTGGCCCTGTCAAAGCAATTTTCCTTGTAGGTCAAAGGAGAACAGATGAGAACAATGGCACTGCTCCCAGATAAATCAGCTCTCCTCCACACTGCCTGAGATTTATGACTGTTGTCACTAGGACAAGGCAATGAGGGCTGAGGACATGGGGAAGAGGTGTGCTGACTGGTCTCAAGCACATACCTATGTTCATAATGCTATCCTTGTCTGGACTAAAGAACAGCCAATCGTAAAACAAAGCCAGCTTAGCATTGGAGGCAGCAACATTTGACTGGAAAAGAAGAGGTTAAAAAAGGTTATTTCATCAACCAGCTCCCTTTTTTCACATGCCCAGGACAGATTCCAGGGCCATTTGTCTACGCCCTCCATAGGTAAGGAAGAACCTAACAATCTGCATTATCTGTATATGTTTACACAGTTGTCTTACCAATCTTGGGGATGGGATTTGGCCTGGGTTCTTCACACATCTAGTAGTACACATCTATAATTCCCATACAGAGAACATTTAGGAGTCCACTGATCATCATGAGTTGAGAGGCAACACTCACCTATTCTGACTTAAGACTAGATAAGTGTTGTCACAGAAGACTGCCCTTCCAGAAAACACCCACTAGCAACAACGGGTTCTCATATCTGATTGGCACATTTCAAGGACCCAGGCAGATAGGGGAGACCTTCTCAGAAGAGTTCTGGGGGCTGGCAGGGAAGGTGGCTTAGTGGTAGAGTGCTTGCCTAGCATGTATGAAGCCCTGGTTCGATTCCTCAGTATCACATAAACAGAAAAAGCTGGAAGTAGTGCTGTGGCTCAAGAGGTAGAGTGCTAGCCTTGAGCAAAAGACACTCAGAGACAGTGCCCAGGCCCAGAATTCAAGACCCAGGACTAGCAAAAAAAAAAGAGGTCGGAGGGCAGGTCGATATTAGAAGATGGATAGTCTCTCACCAGGTAAAGAAAGGAAAACAAACACAGGGAAGGAAATGGGTTCTTTTTGGATTCACTATCTTTGCTGAAGGGAAGTAATGTATATAAACCAATGCCAAAGGCATGGAGGTGAGGGTCTAAAGAATGCAAGCCCTATCCCAACACCCAGGAGGTTGCAGCAGGAAGACTGCAGTTTAAGGCAGTCTGGGTTCCATGGCATGACCCTGTCTCAAAAACAAAACAATACAACCCCCAAATAAGAAACACTTCAGAGAGCTGGGAAGGTGGTTCAATGGTACAGTGCTTGCCTTGCATGCAAGAGGCCTTGGGTTTAATTCCTCAGTATCACATAAACAGAAAAAGCTGGAAGTGGCAATGTGGCTCAAGTGGTAAAGTCCTAGCCTTGAGCAAAAGAAGCTTAGGGTAGTGCCCAGGGCCTGAGTTCAATCCCCAAGACTGGGGTGCACATACACATACACACACAAGAAAAAAGGGAAGAAAAAAGAAATAGTTCAAGCCTGGTGCCTGTGGTTCATGCCATCTGTAATCCTAGCAACTCAGGTGGCTGAGATCTGAGGATCGAGGTTCAAAGCCAGCCTGGGCAGGAACGGCCATGAGACTCTGATCTCCAATTAACCACCAGAAAACCAGAAGTGGCGCTGTGGCTCAAGTGGTAGAGTGCTAACCTTGAGCTCAAGAGCTCAGGGACAGTGCCCAGGCCCAGAGTTCAAGCCCCATGACCAACCAAAAAAAAGTTCAGAGGAATAACTATTTGTGGTTTCTAGAATCTAAAAGAAAAAAGCTAAAAGAAACCTAAATTTTTGAGAATTGGCAGTAAAAAGTAGATGAACTTATTCAATCCCAAAAACAGGATTAAGTTCTAGAGACACAATAGAAGGCATTCAGGGGACCACAACAAAGGGCCCTTAGGGTTCAGCTGTACCTGGAGAGTCAGTAAGGAACAGTATGGGAGAGGCATCCTTGGCTACTCAATATTCTCTATCCATTGCCCCAACTGCTTACCGTGCATGTTGTCAGGAGCCAACCAATGATGGCCCATCGGGGCAAGATATCTGAACTTAGTACTTCATTAGAAGGATGAACTACACCACAGATGTAGCGAATGAGGTCACATCGCAGAGACTGACTGTCTGGGGTTGACAGGTACTGGCGCTGAAACCAATCTTGGTATCGTTTTTGTTGACCAAACCGTACCTAGAGGAGGAAGAAATTGAAAAAGAAACTTGGAAAGGACAATGGAATTCCTGAGCAGAGGAAAACAGATGGGTGCCAATGGATCATGCCTATAACCCTAGATACTCAGGTGGCTGAGATCTGTGAGATCTGAGAATCTCAGTATGAAGTTGGCCCAGGCAGACAAATCTGGGAGACTCTTAACCTTTAATACAAGTGAAGGAGAAAGAGAAGGAGAAGGGGAAGAAATAGAGAAAAGGAGAAGAAATAGAGAAAAGAAGAAAAAGGAGGAGGTGGAGGAGGAGGAGAAAAAAGAGAAAGAATGAAAAATAAGGATAAAGTGGCGCTGTGGCTCAAGCAGGAGAGCGCTTGCCTTGAGCTGAAGAGCACAGAGATAGCGCCCAAGCCCAGAGTTCAAGCCCCACTACTGACAAAACAAAACAACAAAAAACTATTTAAATATCCTGCTAGCCGGGCACCGGTGGCTCATGCCTGTAATCCTAGCTACTCAGGAGGCTGAGATCTGAGGTTTGAGGTTCAAAGCCAGTCCGGGCAGGAAAGACCGTGAGATTCCTATCTCCAATAAGCCACTAGAAAACTGGAAGTGGCACTGTAGCTCAAATGGTAGAGCTCTTGCCTTGAGCTGAAGAGATGAAGAGCTGAGGGACAGTGCCCAGGCCCAGAGTTCAAGCCCCATGACCAACAAAAAAAAAAGGGATGAAGACTAAGAAGGAAGAATAAGAAGGGAAAAGGGAAGGAGGAGGAGGAGAGCAAGAGAAGAAGGGAGGAGGGGGAGCAGGGAGGGAAGAAGGGGAAAATGAGGGGGAGAAAGAAAGAAGGAAAAGAAGAGGCAGAGGGAGGAGGAGAAAAAGGAGGAGGAAAGAAGAAGAAGGAGAAAGGAGAAGGATATAAGGGGAAGGAGAAGATGACTATCACTCAACTGTAAGATGGAAGAGGGGGAGGAAAAGAAGGAAGAGGAAGAGGAGGAGGTATAAAAAAAACTGATGATAAAAGGTAACTTCTATACAACACCTTAATAATACTAATAAAATTAAAAGAAAAACTGCTCAAAAGATGGGTGCCAGTGACTCATGCCTGTAATCCTACTCAGGAGGCTGTGATATGAGGATGGCAGTTCAAAGCCAGTCTGGGCAATTAACCACTAGAAAACCAGAAATGTGGCTCAAGTGGTAGAGCACTAGCTTTGAGCTGAATAGATGAGGGACAGCGCCCAGGCCCAGAGTTCAAGCCCTATGACTGACAAAAAAAAACAACAACTGCTCAGTCTTTCTAGCTCACCTTTCATGTCAGTGATGCATTCATTTTTGCCACCAACTTGATGCCACAATTACCCCCAACAGCAACTACAGTCCATTTTTGACTCCTTACTTCTATACTAGTCTTTGTCTCTCTGGTTATAAACATAATCCTTCCTTATTTTCTTGAATAATTGGCAAGCAGTAAGGAATGTTCCTCAAGAGTAAACCTGTACCTATTAACCACTCTGCACTGAACGAGCACTTCCTTATGCTGACTGATTTAACAGGACCATTATTCAAGGTACAAATTCTTCGAACTTCTTTCCCAAGTCCTTCCCCTAATCAGACAACAAACAGCAACATTAATTGCAGGAGCGTCTGGTTTCTCTTCTATTCCCATCAGAAAACTTCAAAAGAGAACAGAAAGGTAAACAAAGTCTCCATCTAGATCAACACTATCCAATAGGACTTTTAACAATAATGGTAGCTACTGAGCATTTGAAATGTCATAAGCTTTAAGTATAATTAATTTTAACTAACTTGTTAGGTGCTGGTAGCTCTCAGGAGGCTGAGATCTGAGGATCAAAGTTTGAAGCCAGCCCAGGCAGGAAAAGTCCCCCAAGTATCCACTAGAAAACCATCAGTAGCACTGTAGTTCAAGTGGTAGAGCACTAGTCTTGAGCAAAAGAGCTCAGGGACAATGCCTTGGCCCAGAGTTCAAGCCCTATGACTGACCAAAACAAAACAAAAACACCATTTTTTTTTAATTAACTTGAATCTAAATTCCAACACTTAACTACCTTTTGGCTACCACAAAGGATAGCCCAGTTCTCTGGGATTTCTTGGGAATCTGAAAGCTGGCTAGGGCATTAGTTCTCTAGTATTAATCAAGAGGAGCTGCTAAAAACAAGATTCCTCTATCAGATCTCTGGGAGAATGGGACCCCTAAGGTCCATTTGTGCTCCTCAAGCAATTCTATCAGAGTTCAGCCATGTTTGGAAACTATGGCTCTCTTCCTGACTGCTCGTAGTTCTCCAGGAATAACCACTACCAGATTGATATTCTCACGTAACTAGTTATTTTTCCCCTGGCTGTAGGGCTTAAACTCAGGGCTTAGGTGTTGTGCCTGAACCTCTTTGTGCTAAAGACTAGTGCTCTACCTCTTGAGCCACAGCACCACTTCTGGTTTTTGAGTGGTTAACTGGAGATAAGGGTCTCACAGGGACTTTTCTGCTCTGGCTGGCTTCGAACTGTGATCCTCAGATCCCAGCCTCCTGAGCAGCTAGGATTATAGGCATGAGCCACTGGCACCAGGCTCACTTTACTAGTTTTATACCCCAGTTCACACTAGTAAAAGTATCATTTATATGCAACTTGGTATCACTGTTTGAGACAGAACAAAAGCTTCAAAAGAGCTGGAATTCAGGTCAAGGGCCAGTGACACATTAGTTACTTAGACTGAGAAAGGGAGGATCCTAGCTTAAGGCCAAACCAGGAAGAAAAGTTCACAAGACTTTATAATTCTGCAGCGGGGTGCAATGGTGCTAATAGAAGGCTGAGATCGGGAAGATTCCAGATCCAAGCCAGCCTAAGCAGAAAAGTCCATGAGACTCCTTCCCCATGGAGGAAAGCTGGATTGAGGGACCTATGATCCTAGCAACTATGATGCACCTATGATCCTAGCAACAAAGGGAACCCTAAAGTAGGTAGATTACAGCTCTGGCAGGTACATGCTGGTGTGAAAAGTGAGACCCTAACTCAAAAATAACAAGTGAAAAACAGAGATGACTTAAGTGCAGAGCACTATCCTAGCAAGCTTCAGTACAAGTTCAAATCCCCCAAAAAGGAAAAAAAAATTAGCTAGAATCCCATCTATTTATTCAGCAATGTACCCCCAATCCTCAGCACCATGCACAATGTTGTAAGTTTAAAATGATTAGAGGAAAGAGCCAGTAGTCATGTGGTAAGGGGCATTTACTCAGTCACTGGTTAACACCAGAACTCAATGGTAACAGATCTGCTGACAGACAAGAAGCCCAACAAAGACGTGCAATTCCTCTTGCTGCTGTAATACTCACCCGGGAAGTCATGAAGAGGAGTTTAGTCTCCATGTCAGGAGTTAGGCGACATGCTAGGAATTTTCGGGATGTTCTTGACTGAAGAAGTTGTAGGATACCTAAACCAAGTTGAAAGGGAAGAGAAAACATAGAGGTCTGAGGATAAGACAGGTCCAAAAGGTAGAGGGGGAACCTGAGCTAGGTACTAATGGCCAGTGGTTTTGTTCATGGGACAATTCCAAGACAAGATCAAGGGAGGTCAAGCATACTTACAGAGATTTCAACCACATCCCAGCTACACTGATCCCTTCTGCTGGCCTTTCAGAGCCTCATATTCACATAAGTGCAGTTGCAATGGGTGGGAAAATATGAGAAGCCTATCTTACTTTTCCTGATGGTCTGACCGTTGGATTCTGGGATTTTTTTTTTTCTTTGCAAGTCCTGGGGCTTGAACTCTGGACCCTGGCCTCGTCCTTGAGCTCTTTTGCACAAGGCTAGTGCTCTACCACTTGAGCCATAACACCACTTCTAGCTTTTTCTGTGTTTAATCGGAGACTAGAATCTCACGGACTTTCTTGTCAGGGCTGTCTCCAAACTGTGATTCTCAGATACCAGCCTTCTGAGTAGCTAGGATTATAGGTGTATGCCACCAGCACCTGGATTGTAGAATTATTTTTTGGACCACAGCAGGACACTGGGAAAGGGACAGAGTGAAACATAGAGATTCTTTCCTTTCCCTAAAGAGCATTTTGATTAGACTGGATCCTCAGAAATAAAGGCCAGATTGTTCCCAGAGACACTTTTTTTTCTTTCCTCTCAAGGGCTAGGGATTGAACCTAGGGCCTTGGGCAAGCTAGATGGGCACTCTACCACAGAGTTATATCCACAGTGCAGTGGCACCTCCTCTTCTGATTTAGTTTTGGGGGTTGACCATTAAGTCCCTGACAGACTCAATGAAACTGGAAAACTGGTCATCTGGCTTATATCCTAAGCCAAGAAAATGACAGGATGGGAAGATCAGTTCACACTCTTTTTTTTTTTTTGTCATTTGTGGGGCTTGAACTCTGGGCCTGGGTGCTGTCCCTGTGCTTTTCAGCTCAAGGCTAGTGCTCTATCACTTGAGCCACAGTGCCACTTCCCGTTTTCTGGTGGTTAACTGGAGATCAGAGTCTCATGGCCATTCCTGCCCAGGTTGGCTTTGAACTGTGATCCTCAGATCTTAGCCTCCTGAGTAGCTAGGGGTGAGCCACTGGTGCCTGCCTGGGTGTCTTTTTTTTTTTTTTTTTTCTTCAAGGAACTAGAGACAGCCTAGTAGGAGCTGTCTAGAAACCACGTGAATTTTTCCATTTCCAGCTAAAGCCTCGCTAGTCCCAAGTGTCTTTTGTTAGATGGTCCCTTTCTAATCTCTGCCCTCTCAATTCATTCAGGACATATACACTGCCACCTCTCAAGGATAGACTGTTCTTGCACTTACTTACCTGTGAACTGAGGACTCAAGGCTTGAGGGTTATGGATAATATCTTTCCAAAGCAGTTCAAATTCTGGTATTCTAGCAACATTCTGAAGTAGTCTCACCAGGTCTCGGCCAATCATCAAACACTCCATAAACTTGATGGGATGGGGGTGGGAGGAGTGATAGGAGGGGGCAGGAAGAGAATAAAAACATGGATTGTTTACTTTCTGGAGTGAGGACAAAGGAACAACATGTTCTACAGGGGGAGGAAAGAGTGTTGGAATCAAAGGATGTGCTTCTAGCTGTTTGTTTAAGAAGAGCTAGAAGTTGAGAACTACTACCAAGGATGAGAAGTTACTGGGAAGTGCAGAAGCCCTGCTCACTTTCACATTAATTTTACTCCCCTCTCCACCTAAAACTATTTTAAAATTCTAAAAGAATCAGACTCTCAAATCAAACCCTAACAGCTTAGCCCAAAACTCTTTTGTCTAACAGGTCCTATTTCACCAATGATTTTCTCCTATTCCCTTACCCGTTCCCGAAGCAGTGAGATGCAGAAGTCTACTTCTTTCTGCCGCAGGGCCTGGAGCTGGGCAGTCCCGTGGTGGTCAACAATGAGACGGAGGTATGTATAAACAGCCATGGCAATGAGGATGCTGCTCTTTAGTACCCACTCTCTGCAGGGAGGAAAGACACTGAACTGTACCCTGTCTAGACCTATTCATTCTTCCAATTCATCTGTCTGGACTTGGGTCCCATGCCTCAGAAATATTTGATGATCAGACACTGGGAGAAGGTTTTTTGCTTACTTGCTTGCTCAGCCCACTATTTACCTTCCACTATCAACCAGCAAAGGAAAGGATAACTTACTAATTTTCTCTAAGTGCCCAATAAAGACAGGTGACTGACGGGTAGAGGTATGCCTCAAGTGGTAGAGCACTTGCCTAGCATGTGCAAGATCCTGGATTCAATCCCTAGAAGCTTGGAGGAAAGAAGGTATCCCTTCTTTTGTTTATTTTTTTTCTTTTTTGTGTGCTGGTCCTGGGGCTTGAACTTAGGGCCCTGGGCCCTGTCTTGGAACATTTTTGATCAAGACTAGCACCTGAGCCACATCTCCACTTCCAGTTTTTGTTTTTTGGTTTTTTTTGGTGGTTAATTAGAGATAAAGAATCCTAATACTGGCCAGGTGCCAGTGGCTCACGCCTATAATCCTAGTTACTCAGGAGGCTAAGATTTGAGGATTACCATTTGAAGCCAGCTGGGGCAAAAAAAGTCCACAGGACTCTCATCTAACTAACCACCCAAAAAGAAAAAAAAAAAAACACCAGCAAAAAAACCCCCAGAAGTGAGGCTGTGGCTCCAAGTAGTAGAGTACTAGCCTTGAGAAAAAGAGATCAGGCCCTGAGTTCAAGCCCCATTACCAAAAAAAAAAAAAGTCTCAGTACTTTCCTGCCCATGTTGGCTTCAAACTATCATCCTCAGATCTCATCCTCCTCAGTAACTAGGATTAGACACTCTTAATTACTTACATAGTTTCTAATAAAATAACTAGTTGTTGATGCATTCAACTCAAACATTTACAAGGTACCTATAATATGCCAAGCAATGGTGAGGTACCAGGGATAGGGATAAGTTATAGCTTCTGTCCAGGTCTGCTATGGGGAAAGGAATTGTAAGTCAATAGCTCTTAAGGGTAGTCAAAGGACCTCTAAGGTTTTCCAAGACCTTTCAGGACCTACAGTTCTTAGAACACATTGTGCTAGCTCTTCTCTCAGGCTGGCCATTAGCAGCCTACCCTGCTATAAACCTTTCCCTGGTGCTCTCTCTAGCCAGTGACCCCACCCTCAGACAATGAGTCACCTGCCCCTAAATCACAATCTGAAAAAAAACTTGGTTTTGGATGGCAAAACCCATTTCCTAGGAGTTTCAGAATTTCCCAGGGGAAAACAGTGCAATAGAATTATTTGTCCCCTGTTGCTTAAAAGGGGTGTCTTTACATAGTGGAGAGATTCCTAAAATTCTGATGCTATCTCCAAATGCCAAAGTTGGGGAGCAGTCTCACTCAAGCAAATATCTTCTGATAGTTTTGGCTACTCCCTGCTGGAAAGCAGGGAACTGGAAGAAGACAGGGAGTTTAATTAATCCAGCCAGGCAACATCCTGATTCCGGAAAACTGCTCAAGCCACCTAATTAAGACTCTGGCCTTTTCCTTTCACAACAAAATGAAAACACTAGCCAAGGACACTGGGCAGATCCCCATCCCCCACTTGCTATTTTTTTTTTTTTATTGCCACAGTCCTGAAAACACATGGGAGGGGGTTAAAAGGAGGGTGTGGAGAGGACACAGTTTAAAATTTCAATGCTTTTACTTTCACCAAAAGAGGTGAATTTGAGGTTGGGGGTGCAGGGAATGGGTGAGGAAGCTAGCTGGCTATTTGACACTTGTAATGAAAAATTCGGCTTTAGGGGGAAGAGCTATATGGCAGCAAGAACAAAAGAAGAAAAAAATCACTTTTTAAGATTGCTAGCTAGCAGAACATATCTGAACCCTGCAATGGCATAATGAAAAGAGACAGGGTAATATCCTGTAACATCTAGGGTAGTAGACAGATACAGACACCTAAGAAAAGGATGTAGAATCACTCATGTTGGTGTGATGGTACTTAGGCCCAGTGTAACTGCACAGATGTACCCAGAGCACTAGGTGGCACTACACAGCAGGCTGTGTAGTTCTCAGAGCAGAACACAGCACACACAGCAGGCTCTTTTACAAGTGTGAATTATGGGAGGAGGTCCACTTTTTTCAAATGAAGATAATATAGATACTATTTTCCCTCTAGATCACTTGGTTAGATTTCCTTACCTAGAAAGAGATTAAAATTAATCAATACAAAGATTTGGGTTATAGGACCAAGGGGAAGGCTCTCTCCCCAAATTCATATATAGAGCTGGCCCATACCATGCCTGGTTCTTTGAGGGAAAAGGGAAAGAACCAACTACAAAGTCTCATATATCCTCTATGTGTTCCCTACCATTGGAGCCTCCGAGCCCTATATAGAGTCTAAGCAGGACTTGCTGATCTCTATCATTTCCTCGCTCCCACCATCGCTGTGCCATTCCAAAAAAGAGCATGTGTTAGACTGCGATGTTTGGAGGGAAGAAGGGGTACCTGCCAGGCCTATGTGGTTGGCTGGCCCTACTCTGCTGAGCTCATTCTCCTCCCACCTCCCCCCAAGGATAAACATTCCAAGGAGGTCTAGCTCAAAAATAAACCCTTATCAGATAAAACCAGTTTTTCCTGGGTTCAGAGATATTTTAGCAAGGACCCTGTCTCCCACTATTTCATTCCTTGGGGCACACTATATCATTAATTATTTCATTCCCAACTAATACATTTGCCTCTTCCTCCCTCTCTGTAACTTAAGGAGTTCTTGGGCCACACAATCCTTTCTTCCCCATTTCCCATACTCACATCCCTCATAGTCATATCTGGCTCTTGCCCCACCCTTAATGATGGACTCTACCTCTGCTCCGTCAGGATATCCAGGACACTTTCTGCCAACCAGATATTTTTGGCTGTGACATCTCCACCTGATTTCAAAGGAGGGGACAGAATCAGAATACAGTAGCTTTGATTAGCAGCTCAGCTAAATCCAATACATCTTCTCACTCCATCTTGCTGGTCCTATTTCTGCTGCTCAGAATGCTAGGATAAACTGCCTTCTCTTCTGTCAGACTTTAAAGTTTTCCTCTCTGCCTCCAGACAGAAATGAAGAGAATCTTCTGGATTATTTTTCCATACTCTAGGCATTGGAATAGGAACAATTTGGCCCCTGAAAAGGCAAGTTTACAAGCTGATTGCTAGTGGTTCACACTTGTAATCCTAGCTACTTAAGAGGCTAAGATCTGAGGATCACGGTTTGAAGGCAGCCTGGGCAGGGAAGTCTGTGAGACTCATCTCCAATTAATCACAGAAAAAGCCAGAAGTGGTGTTATAGCTCAAGGAGTAGAGTTCTAGCCTTTGCAAAAGGAGCTCAGGGTCAGCACGCAGACCCAAAGTTCAAGGCCCAGGCCCAGCAAATAAAAAGAAAAGAAAAGGCAAGATGAAAAGCAAGGATAGTATCTCAAACAGGGCCTGAGAGGTGCAAGTAGCTGGCAATAGCTTCAGCCCAGCATCTGGATGTCCTGAGTCAGGTGCTCAGGCTCACATCAGGCCAAGGGTTTCTAGACACCAGTCTTCAGTTTTTGCTATGAAACTTCTTGGGATAGAATTAATAATGGTGACAGGCCAAAGTCTTGGGATAAGAAGTGGGAGCTGTGTTAAATGGGGAAAAAAGTGTCAGAGTGCCAGGAGAGAAGACAAAAATATCCAGCACAACAATGCTATGCCTTTCCTCAAGTCCATCTAAAAAGATTCAGTGTTCACATAGTCACACAGCACAAAGATTAGTACTCACATACACCAAAGGGGGGGGGGGGATGGCAAAGCACCATTGGGCAAATAGTGAGATAAAACAGCAAGACTATTTAAATTTTATTTAATTTCATGTATTTACTTTTTGTTTTTAGCAGGGTAATTTTTAAACAAACACATGTAATCTCAAGAATATAAAAGGTAGTTTGAGCAGATCTCTTTCATATTCAGTTGCTAAGACACTAAGATAATAAAACCTAAATGTCAGGGTCTGTTCTGTGATATCGTTTGTCCCTCAGACTGGCTCCAATCAGATGTCAAAATTAAGGGAGTAAATATACAAAACATAGAGTTAGAGCCAGGGAGGATGTCTAGGTTTCTGAAAGCATAATGACATGAGAACAAATTACTTCCTGTATTTCTCTCCTCATTCCTTCCAGATCCAGAATACCACTAAGCCCAGGTCTGGATTTGACAGGAAAAGAAAGATTTATTGCTATAAATGACTTCTGTGGTTTTGTTCATTTCTTTCTAAAACATATATGGGCAGATGTCTGCATCAGATCAAGTCTAAGTAACCTAAGAATCATATTCCTTAGGAGTTTAATCATTTTCTATTGCCTAGACTTAGTCTCTAGGCTCCTTTCTTTTCTTCTTTATACCTGTCATCAAACTCACCTGCAATCTGCTTCATAAATGTCATGCAAACACCATCAGCTCCCAAAACTCCACTCTTCACTAGTTCTCTTACCAACCACACCAACTAGAGAGAAGACAAGAAATAAACAGCAGGGCCTATAAATTTGAAAAAGGAGCTAATATAGTCATGTTACAATTTAGTTACACAATGGTAAGATGTACAGACCATAACTCTTCCTTCCCTTCACTGTAAGAAAACCACAATAATAGTTCTGATTTTGAATGGAATATACTACCCCCACCCTCTTTAGAACTGGAGATCAAACCCAGGGCCTTGTGCATGCAGAGCACATACTACTTATGAGCTAACTCCCCCTCCCAGGATCGTCTTCTGATCTTACCTGAGTACGGCAAGTATCCTGCAACTTCAGGTACTTCTCCATAAGTATCTGGTTGATTTTATTCAGGACAATATTCATGCCATCACGACTCACCAGAGCCAAGTCCCGGTAACACTATAAGAAGCAGGTTTGTAAGCAGCCAATAAACTAAGTTAAGGCTCTTGACCCAACCCTTAGTCAACCCCTATCCTCCTGTCTCTTAAACAAAACACTACCAATCAGACGATACTAAATAGCAAAATGGGAAATACAAACAGTTTCCATGCTGAATAATTTCCCTCCACAGGGCACCTCCATCACAAACCTATGTTCTATCTTACAGGGTAGGAAAAAAGGACTGAACTCTCTAATAAGGAAAGAAAGCCTGCTGAGCAGAGCTCTTAGTCCTAACCTTGTCCCCCTACCTCCCTTCTAAGGAAATGTCATACTGTTTGATGCTACAAGCTGAGCAAAACCAGGTGGAGGCCATCTGCTTTTCAACTCCTAGTAAAAGGTCACTGCAGAATGGATTTGATTGAACAAGTCAAAAAGGAACCCAGAGGGTTTTCGACCTGCTGTGACCCAACTAGATGCAGCAAGGGGAGTTTAAGGGGTCAGGGTCCTGGAGAGAAAGGACAGAACCCAAACTGAGGTTTCTTAGCTGGGTATGTTAGTGGATGCCTACAACCTGAGCACTTAAGAGGCTGAAACAGAAGGATCAGCTAGCCTGAGTTATACAGTAAAATCTTTTCTCAAAAACAGAAAATGAAATTTTAAAATTCAATGTCTGGGCACTGGTGTCTTATGCCTGTAATGCTAGATACTCAGGAAGCTGAGACCTGAGGACTGTGGTTCAAAGCCAGCCTGGGCAGGACAGTCCATGACATTTTTTTTCTTTTCGCCTGGTCCTGGGGCTTAAATTCAGTGACTGGGTACTGTCCCCGAGCTTCTATGTGTTCAAGGCTAGCATTCTACCACTTGAGCATCAGCGCCACTTCCGGCTTTTTCTGAATAGCTTATTAGAGATAAGTGTCTCACTGAATTTTCTGCCATGGCTGGCTTCAATTGCAACCTCCAGAGTAGCTAGGATTATAGGCGTGTGCCACCAGTGCCAGCTCCATGTGACTCATCTCCAATTAACTACCAGAAAACCAGAAGTAGAGCTGCTGTTCAAAGTGGTAGTGTGCTAGCCTTAAGTGAAAAAGCTCAGAGACAGCACCCAGACCCTGAGTTCAAACACCAAGACTGACAAAATAAATAAATATGTCTTTCTTCTTTTTGTGGTGCTAGAGGATTAAGCCATGGATCTGTGATAATTGCTCTACCACTGACTGAGCTACCTCAGTTATCCTAAATGTCTTTCTTTTCTCTGGGATGCCTTTTACTTTTGCTAAGTATTGAAAAAGGAAAGAGGTGTATGCCTGTAATCCCAGCAGTTGGGAAGCTGAAACAGGAAAGCTTTGTGTTTGTGGACAGCTTAGGATACACAGTGATGTAGTAAGTTCAAGGCTAAACTGAGATACTTTTCAAGAACTTGGCTCAAAACAAGATAGAATAACAACCATGGTGCTCTACCACTTGAGCCACATCTCCTATTTTGGTTGTTAACTGAAGACGAGAGTCTCATGTACTTTGTTGCCTGGGCAAGATTCAAGTTGCTATCCTCAGATCTCACTTTCCTGAGTAGTTAGAATTATAGGCATGAGCCACCAGTGCTCAACTCCTTTGCTCTTTCTGATTTACATCTTCCCTCTTGGAAGCTTGCTAAGGTTTTTTCCTCCCATTTTTCTCTTTGTTGGTCAGCAAACTGTTATAGGTTGGTAAAACAGCATCAGAGATGAGATACTTTTTGTACCCAGCTGCAATATATGTTACCAGCACTTATTGTTGTTAAGGTTCCAGGCAGGGCATAGAATTAGGCAAACAGTATCTTCTCTTTCTTCATTCAACCCTATTATCTTCAGAGAGGTTTGTCCTCTTTCCCTGCCCTGGCCACAGTTCTAGAATTTGTTTTCAGTTAAATAGGCAATGTTCCTCTATGGTTAAAGTTGTCTCTGTATCTGACTTGACAGATTTTCCTTTTATCTTTACTTCCCTCATCTTCTTTAACCATTCTGTGACTAACCTGGGGAGGCTTCAGACATAACTACCAGCACATTGGTAGTAGTTTGTTGGAACCTCTTATCCCAATGTGGTGTTTGTTCCCTGTTTTTAATTTCCCAATCATCCTCTCTGCAGTGTTGCCTTCCCTCATGGAACTTGCAAAGTGCAAAAGAAAGTGGGTATGGATGGTCAAATTCTTGATACAGCATTTACAATTCAGATTCCACTGCTAAGCCAGGCAAAGAGCAAGAAATACTACACAAACCCTGCCCCCTTCACTTACTCTGTTCATTTCTCACATTAAACCAACAAATAAGCCTTTCTAGCAGGCAAGACTAAATTGCACTGAAATAGCTAAATAAGATTCTGATGTTTTGTTTATTCTATTTGTGGTACTGGGAATTGAACCTCAAGGCCAGGGCCTGTTGCTGTTCAAGCACTCTACCAATGAGTTGCATCTCTAAGCCCTTAAATTGGATTTTAAAGTATTTATAAAAATTGATGTATGGGCTGGGAAGGTGGCTCAGTGGTAGAGTGCTTGCCTTGCATGCCTAAGGCCCTGGGTTCGATTCCTCAGCACCACATAAGCAAAAAGAAAAAAGCCGGAAGTGGTGGTGTGGCTCAAGTGGTAGAGCGCTAGCCTTGAGCTGAAGAGCTGAGGGACAGTGCCCAGACCCAGAGTTCAGGCCCCATGACCGGACCCAAAAAAAAAAAAAAGATGTAAAGCTGGCCACCAGTGGTTCATGGCTGTAATCCTAGCTACTCAGGAGGCTAAGATCTGAGGATCATGGTTCAAAGCCAGCCTGGGCAGGAAACTGTGAGACTCTTTTTTTTTTTTTTGGTAGGTCATGGGGCTAGAACTCTGGGCCTGGGCACTGCTCCTCAGCTCTTCAGCTCAAGGCTAGCGTTCTACCACTTGAGCCACGGTGCCTCTTCCGGTTTTCTGGTTATTTATTGGAGATAAGAGTCTCATGGAAGCCGAGCGCTGGTGGCTCACGCCTGTAATCCTAGCTACTCAGGAGGCTGAGATCTGAGGATCGTGGTTCAAAGCCAGCCCGGGCAGGAAAGACCATGAGACTCCTATCTCCAATAAACCACCAGAAAACTGGAAGTGGCGCTGTAGCTCAAGTGGTAGAGCGCTCGCCTTGAGCTGGAGAGCTGAGGGACAGCGCCCAGGCCCAGAGTTCAAGCCCCACGACCGACAAAAAAAAAAAAAAAGAGTCTCATGGACTTTCCTGCCCGGGCTAGCTTTGAACTGTGATCCTCAGATCTCAGCCTCCTGAGTTGCTAGGATTACAGGCGTGAGCCATCAGTGCCCAGCTGTGGGACTCTTATCTCCAATAAACTTCTCAAAAAAGCCAGAAGTGGCATTGTGGCTTGAGTGGTAGAATACTTGCTTTGAGCAAAAGAAGCCCAGGCCAGAGTTCAAGCCCCTGGACTGGCAATAAATAAAAAAAAAATGAATTCAAGTAAGAGAAAAAAAAATGCCTTAACCCCAACCTACACACTTTCATCTTTGCCAATAATTTCTTTAAGATTCAATGGGATCATATCAATATTTAACAACAGCAAAATGGAGACATCTTTATTCCCAAGTATCTTAATGATAAGATAAAAACAAAACAGCCTAAGTTCCAGCTACTTAGGAAATGGAGATTGGGAAAATGATGGTTTGAAAGCATGAAATCAGCAAGACATTTTGACCAAAAAATGCTGGATGTAGCTGCACACTTTTGTTATCCCAGCTATACCAGAGGCCTGACAAAAACAAAAAGCCACAAAAATAACTAAAAGTAAAAAGGGTTGAGGGCAAGGCACAAGCAATAAACTAAACAGCTAAGAAAAGAGAAGAGAAATGAGAAAGAAAAAACAATCTCCCACAACTCAAGAGATGCTTTAAAAAAAATTAAGTTTGCCAGGCACTGGTGGCTCATGCCTGTAATCCTAGCTACTCAGGAGGCTGAGATCTGAGGATCATGGTTCAAAGCCAGCCTTAGCAGGAAAGACCATGAGACTCTTATCTCAATAAACAACCAGAAAACCGGAAGTGACACTGTGGTTCAAGTGGAAGAGCACTAGCCTTGAGCTGAAGAGCTGAGGGACACCTCCTAGGCCCTGAGTTAAAGCCCCATTACCGACAAAAAAAAAAAAAAAAAAAGTTTGGGCACTGGTGGCTCATGCCTCTAATTCCAAGCTCATCAGGAGGCTGAGATCTAAGATTAAAGTTCAAAGCCAGCCTGACTGGGAAAGTTCATTACTCACCAAACAGCTGGAAGTAGAGAAGTGGCTCAAATAGTAGAGCTCTGAGTGAAAGTTGAGAGCACGAAGCTGAGTTTAAACTGTAATACTGGTGTGTGTGCATGCACGCATGCGCACGCACATAAACACACGAGTTAAAAACAATTTTGCAGTAAGGAAATTACAGGGGGCTGGGTGCTGGTGGCTCACACCTATAATCCTAGCTACTCAGGAGGCTGAGATCTGAGGATCACGGCTCAAAGCCAGCCCAGGCAGGAGAGACCGTGAGACTCCTATCTCCAATAAACCACCAGAAAACTGGAAGTGACGCTGTAGCTCAAGTGGTAGAGTGCTCACCTTGAGCTGAAGAGCTGAGGGACAGCGCCCAGGCCCAGAGTTCAAGCCCCATGACTGACAAAAAAAAAAAAAATTACAGGGGCTAAGAAGGTGGCTCAATGGTAGAGTGCTTGCCTTTCATGTATGAGGTCCTGGGTTCGATTCCTCAGAACCACATAAGCAGAAAAAGGAAAAAGCCGGAAGTAGTGCTGTGGCTCAAGTGGTAGAGCACTAGTCTTGAGCTGGAGAGCTGAGGGACAGCGCCCAGGCCCAGATTTCAGGCCCCAGGAACGACCAAAAAAAAAAAGGAATTGTAACTGGAGCACAAGGTGATTCAGCTTTAGTCAAAGGATCTGCTAAACCCAAGTTAGACAGTAAACTCCACCATGTTCCCAGATTATGTCTTTAAAGGGTCCAGACCAGGTATCTTACCTTCTGGGCTTGGGAAGGTTCAGTAAGGACAAGAGTAAACAAGCCCAGGCAGATTTCTTCATGTTGAGGAGGTCCTTTGCATACCTGTAAAATAAAGAAAAGAAAAAACAAAATAGCTACCTGTTATTCACAGGCAGAAAATTTCAGCAGTTTCTCCTAGAATACCTATGATTCTTGGGTAACACACAATGACAAATGACCAACTCTTAAATCTGGTAATTTCTTCTATTAAAACAGATGAGGGGGGCTGGGAAGGTGGCTCTTGCCTTGCATGCAAGAGGCCCTGGGTTCGATTCCTCAGCACCACATAAGCAAAAAGAAAAAAGCGGCAAGTGGCGCTGTGGCTGAAGTGGTAGAGCGCTCGCCTTGAGCTGAAGAGCTGAGGGACAGCACCCAAGCCCCACCACCGACAAAAAAAAAAAAAAAAAAGAAATAAAAGTAAAAGAAAGACCCCCCCCCCCCTCCCCACCCCCGCCTCAAAATCAGGCAAAAGCTGAACTGTAGACAGGGCTCATATAGTAGAATACCAGCCAAGCTAGCAAGCTGAACAAGACCAAGTTCAAACTCTGGAACTAGCAAAATAAAATAAAATAAAAATAATAAAATTGCTATTTAACTGAAATTGGTGGCATAAGCCTATAAATCTAGCATTTGGGAGGCTGAAGCGGATGGATTTCTAAATTTGAGGTCAGCATGGGCTACATACCAAATTAAATACTAATATATAAAGCAAGACCCTCTCTAAAAAAGGCAAAGAGAAGCCAGGTCCTGGCGGCTCATGCCTAAAACGCTAGCTACCCAGGAGGCTGAGATCTGAGGATCATGGTTTGAAGCCAGCCCAGGCAGGAAAGTCTATTAGATTATCTCCAATAAACTACTCAGAAAAATTTGGAAGTGGCACTGTGGCTCACTGTGGCCTTGAGAAAAAGAATCTCAGGGACAGCATCTAGGCCCTGAGTTCAAACTCCAGGACTTATACAAAAGAGAGGGGGTGGAGAGTGAGAGAGAGAGAGAGAGAGAGAGAGACAGCAGCAACAACAAAAGCAAGCAAACAAAGTTGTGACTTAAAGATGCATAAGAATCCAAGAGCTAATTTCCTAAAGTAAGAGAAAACAGTTTGGAAATTAAGATGGAAACCTAACATAAACTTCAGTCCCATGGTTAGGTCTTAACGCTTTCCCAGAAGTGAACTGGATGTGAGGGAAACACAATACTTACATACGCATTGAGGGCATCGTTGGCCTCTCTCTCGGAGACACCAGTAGTCATTGACGTCACAATACTCATACACCTTTCCAACCTCTGGGGAGGGGTGAGAACAAATTAAATGTGTAGTATTTCTGGCCCCAAAACAATTTTTTTTAAAAATTCTAATCTGGAGGATGAGGGAGAATGACAGAGGAGGTAAAACTAATCAAGGTACTTTGTATACATATATGGACATGTCAAAATGAAACCCCTTGGTACAACTAATTGATGCAACAAAAACTGTAGGGGAGAAACTTAAGAAGAAAAAAATCCCAACCTGATCATCTTTCCAAGCCCAGACAGAAAAAAAAAAGAAAAAAAAGGAAAGATAAAGAGCCAGGTATTGGTGGCTCTTGCCTAAAATCCCATCTATTCAGGAGGCTAAGATCTCAGGATCGCAGTTCAAAGCCAACTAAGGCAGAAAAGCCTGTTAGATTCTTATCTCCAATTAACTAGCAAAAGGCCAGAAGAGAGGGTGTTGCTCAAGTGGTAGAGCACCAGCCCTGAATCAAAAAGCCAAACAAAAGCATGAAGCTGAGTTCAAGCTCCAAAATGGGCATGTGCTTTTCTTCTTTTTTTTTGATCTGTGGGTCATGGGGTTTGAACTCTAGGCCTGGGTGCTGTCCCTCAGTTCTTCAGCTCAAGGCTAGCCCTCTACCACTTGAGCCACACCACCACTTCCAGTTTTCTGGTGGTTTGTTGGAGATAAGAGCCTCTCAGACTTTACTTCCTGAGCTGGCTTTGAACTGTGATCCTCAGATCTCAGCCTCCTGAGTAGCTAAGATTACAGGTGTGAGCCACTGGCTCCTGGCTACAAAGGTGTTCCTTTATAATAGAATGACAACTAACAAATGTAGTTCTGCCAAGTATTATCATGTATGCTAAAACCAGTAGGTAAAACTTGCAAGAGAAATTATACATTTATATAGGCTTAAAATACATATTAATTTCAAAAAGAAAATGATAAATGTAAGAAAACCTAAAGACATATCCTTAACCAAGTAACTATCACCAGTGGTGAGACCAACTGATACCACGTGCCTCTAAGATGCTTTGAAGTGAGCCAGGTAAGGTTGTGTACCCATAAAACCAGATACTCAGGAGATTAAGGTGGAAAGATCACTTGAAGCCAGAGTTTGACCATAACCTGAACCACATGGTATGATCTCCATCTCAAAATAAAATATCCACATGTGGTGGTATACACCTGTAATCCCAACACTCAGGAGTCTAAGGCAGGAAGATCTCAAATTAAAGGCCATCTGGGCTACACAGCGAGACCCTGTATAATTTTTTCTTTACACTTGAAATTATTTTAGTTATTAAAAATTAACGAATCAAGAGCCGGGCGCTGGTGGCTCACGCCAGTAATCCTAGCTACTCAAGAGGCTGAGATCTGAGGATCACGGTTCAAAGCTAGCCCAGGCAGGAAAGTTCATGAAACTCTTATCTCCAATAAACTACCAGAAAACCGGAAATGGCGCTGTGGCTCAAGTGGTAGAGCGCTAGCCTTGAGCTGAAGAGCTGAGGGACAGCACTCAGGCCCAGAGTTCAAGCACCACGAACAAAAATAAATAAATAAGTAATAAAAAATAAAAAAAATAAAAATTAACGAACCAAAACAAAATTAAAGCATCATATCAATTATTAACTTGAACAATAAAGAATTTAGGATATAATCAACAATCTGAGCTGAGTACCTGTGGCTCACACCTGTAATCCTAGCTACCTAGGAAACTGAGATCTGAAGATCTTGGTTGAAGCCAGCCTAGGCAGGAAAGTTGTGAGACTCTGATCTCCAATTAACCACCGAAAATACACTCTGGCTTAAAGTGGTAGAGCACTAGCCTTGAGTGAAAGGAGTTTAGGGACAGTGTCCAGGCCCTGAGTTCAAGCCCCATGACCAATAATAAAAAGAACAGTTTGAATAGTGACCTAATATTGATTATATCAAAGAATAGTGAGTCAGGTGCTGGTGGCTCACACCTGTAATCCTAGCTACTCAGGAGGCTGAGATCTGAGGATTGTGGTTCAAAGCCAGCCAGGGGAGAAAAGTCCATGAGACTCTTCTTATTTTTCTTTTGTGCCAGTCCTGGGGCTTGAACTCAGGGTCTGGGCACTGTCCCTGAGCAATTTTTGCTCAAGATTAGCACTCTTTGAGTCACAGCACCACTTCCGGCTTTTTCTGTTTGTGGTACTGAGGGGTCAAACCTGGGGCTTCATGCATGCTAGGCAAACAACTCTACCACTAAGTCACATTCTCAGCCCAAGTCTGTGAGACTCTTATCTCCAATTAACCATCAGAACACCGGATGTGGCACTGTGACCCCAGTGGTAGAGGGCTTGCCTTGAGCTGAAGAGCTCAGAGACAGAACCCAGGCCCAGAGTTCAAGACCCACGACCAACAACAACAACAAAAAGGAACCTGAGCTTCTAGAAAACCCTACAGGGATGCCGGGCGCTGGTGGCTCATGCCTGTAATCCTAGCTACTCAGGAGGCTGAGATCTGAGGATCGCGGGTCAAAGCCAGCCCGGGCAGGAAAGACCATGAGACTCCTATCTCCAATAAACCACCAGAAAACTGGAAGTGGCACTGTAGCTCAAGTGGTAGAGCACTCGCCTTGAGCTGAAGAGCTGAGGGACAGTGCCCAGGCCCAGAGTTCAAGCCCTACGGCCAACCAAAAAAAAAAAAACAAAAAACCCTACAGGGGACAGAAGTGAGGCCATAAGGTAGCTTGAAGAAGAGTATTATTAATGTTTGTAGATGTGAAAGTAGTACTCAGACTATGATTTTTTTAAGAAGCCTTAAGCTATACATTCATATGAAGTTTTTAAAGGTGAAATGACACTTTATACTTGCTTCAAAATAATCTAGAAGGAGTTGGAGGGAATAAAACAAGATTGCCATGTACTGCTAAGTAATGGAAACAGAAAGATAAGCTACATGGAAATAATATTCTACTTTTTCACAGTTGAATTGCTCCCTCTGACCCATCCCCACTACACTGCTAAAACAAAAAGTATGAGGAAAGGAGAGACAGAGAACAAAAGACTAAACTAAAACCTGCCAACTTCTCCAGTTAAACAAAGCTGCATTAAAGCCAATCCAAGGGTCACTTATTTCAAAGGTAGCTGCCTAATATTCTGTAGAGATTCAGACAGTGGGGCCTATTCTAAAGCATTTATACTGAAAAAATGCTACATACTGATACAATATTGAGAAAATATACCTCATGTTAAGGCAGAGAGCTCTCTTTTATCAATACCTAAACTATTTCCTGAGGCTTTTAAAATTTTATGATGATTAATCCAAAAACTGTTTTAAGAAAGCCAATTCCCAATGATTATAATGCTGACAAAACCAGGATAAAAGTAGACTGGTTTACTTGTTTTTTAGAGGCTACCACAGAACTTTGCTGAACTTTGCCTATAATACCTCAACTTGTGAAGAAAGGCTAGGTAGTTCAAAGCCAACCTGGGGAATTTAGTGAGAGACCCTGTCTCAAAATACTTTATAAAGGGAGGTGGGGGGAGGAAGAGGTTAGCAGTGTAATAGTAGAACATGAGTAGCAGAACATAGGCCTAAGCAAGAGGCCCCAAGCTCATGCCCTGGAAATACAAACACAAAACAAACTTGCTGAGAGATGCTTAAGGTATTTCTTTAGCAGTGTTTTGAGAAACAGACAAGTAAGGATGATGGAAAAGCTGTCTTGGCCTGAAAGATAACTATGTTTCTCCTTGGATCTTTACAATGAGATTGTCAATGTCTAGCCTATGTAAGAACATAAGGTATCAGAGACTTGTCTTAAGAAGTTCTGATAGCTACAAAACTTCAGCCTAAAATAAGACCAGGGTTAAAGGTATTACAAGTTTACACTAACATCAGTTCAATCTCCCAAATTAGGTCAGATCAGCAAGCTCAGCTTTAATAAACAGCACCTGCGTACTTGTGAAAAGAAGCTGTGAGATCACATGAAAACTGAGCTGTGACTCTCATTACCTGGGAGTTCTGATATTCCTCATTACCTAGTCCAATCTCCCCTGAGGAAGGAGGAAAAACTCAGGCTGGGTTTCTCTTTTTTGAAATCTCACTCCTTTCTATCCAAGACAGTTATTACAGACTGATGGGTCAGTTATTCCAGTTGCTTGGTCTAGACCTTCTTGCTAAGACCCCCAAACCCAGCAATTTCAAACCCAGGAAGATAGTAAATAAGCAAAATGGGGGGGAGGGGAAGGGGGAAGGGAATTCTAGATATTGCTTCCTACCAGAGAAAATCTCTATGGAATCAACATAGAGAGATAAGAGAAATCAAGCAGCAGCTAACCAATGCAAACCAGAAAGCATGGAATAGAAAAAAACCACCAGTGCTAACTACCTAGCCTTAGGCTCATCTTGTATGAGTTAATGTCTATCCCGAGAATGTTCTGAAGCTTAAATAACTTGTGAAAACACAAGGCACCCATCCTGCTTAATCAGAATCTATTCAATTGGTAGGGAAATTGAGCAATTGTACACATCTAATCCATAGGGACCAGACTCTCTAGCCCCTTGTCACTACTTCAGCATGTCCTCAAAGATTCCTGAAAACTAACCACCCACTGCAGGACATGGATAAGTGCCTAACCAGGCTGAAAAGCTTCCTCTCCTACTGACCCTCTGTAAACCTTTGCCTTCTAAGAGAGGAGGAAAAGGGAGAGGAAAAGGAAGAGGCCTAACTGATGACCCTACATTGAGATCTTGGCAAAGCTGGCTACACAGCTTTATGAGCTGGCAGTGTCTGGATGTGATTTAACACTCACGAGACTTTGGATTGAACACAGTTTCTCTAGGCTCCTCCCTGATGTTTGAAGCTCTGCTCAGAGGCATGAGTCAATTGTATCAGACACTGCCCAGTCAAGGAGAAAAGTGGCCTCTTGAAACAGGGAGGCCCAGCTAAGGATGCAGAAAGTAGGAGAGTCCAGAATGTGGATGAGCAGATAAACTCAATGAAGAAAAAAATGTGATAGTCCATTCCGGGCAACAGAAGTAAAAAGATACTACGCTTCCTATAGAAATTACTTGTCCAAACAGGATGGGAAAATTAATTAAAAACCATTCAGGGCCACAAAAGAACTATGCGCCCTCAAAGAGAATCACAGAAAGCTAGATCTCTACATCTGAGTAACAGAACCCTTCTTCCCCATTCCTTCCTCTGGAGGCCCTTAATAAAAATGAAATCACACATACAGCTGCCAACAATTGCTGGCAGAACAGCTGTTTGGAATAAGCCTTCTATGACAGCACCTCAGAAGACTGAGTAAATATTTATCATCCCTAGGAGCTCCTGAACTAATTTTTATAAGACTACCTGACTATGACAACAGCATTAGATACAAAGAAAGAAACCTTCCTATATGCTAGTATGTGCCTGAAGTTAACAGGAGAGACTCCAGTTAGAAAGATATCTCTCTCTTTCCATTACTACTCCTCAGCCAGGTGAAATATTCTGTTCCCTTATGAGGAGTGACCTTGAACTAAATTCTATCATCTACTGAACAAGAAGATATGATCCAACCTGCACAATCCCCAAGGACTCATATCATGAAGCAATTATTGAATATGTTGGATTCCAAGTATAGCCAACCTTCCTATGCTCCTATATGGGAAGCTAACTTAAGAAACCTAAGTCAGGGGCTGGGAAAGTAGCTCAGCAGTAGAGTGCATGCCTTGCAAGCATGAGGCCGTGGGTTCGATTCCTCATCACCACATAAACAGAAAAAGCCGGAAGTGGCGCTGTGGCTCCAGTGGTAGAGCACTAGCCTTGAGCTGAAGAGCTGGGCCCAGAGTTCAGGCCTCATGGCCGGCAAAAAAAAAAAAAAAAAAAACCTAATGGGAAGGTGGCTCAATGGTAGAGTGCTTGCCTTGCATGCATGAGGCCCTGGGTTCGATTCCTCAGCACCACATAAGCAGAAAAAGCCAGAAGTGGGGCTGATGCTCAAGTGCTAGCCTTCAGCTGAAGAGCTGAGGAACAGTGCCCAGGCCCAGAGTTCAGGCCCCATGACTGACTAAAAAAAAAAAAAAGAAAAAAAAGAAACCTAAGTCAGATTCTGGTGTTCTCTAGCAGACCTGGAGCTCCTGCAATTCTGAGGGATGACCTATGTTCCACAACTAAGAGTCACTTGTATGTGAAATAATGATTTAAGGGGGAAAAATGACTCAAAGCCCATTCCTTGAGAACATTATCAATTATTCCTTTGGGAAAAAGCTGGCAGGAACATAGCCTGAACAAATGTTAACTCTCTTATCCATAGCTTCAAGTTCTACTTCAGCCAGGCACTGGAGGCTCATGCCTGTCATCCTAGATACTCAGGGGACTGAGATCTGAGGACTGAGGTTCAAAGCCAGTCTGGGCAGAAAAGTCCACCAGACTTTTCCCCCCACTAGTCATGGGCCTTAAACTAGGGGCCTGGGCACTGTCCCTGAGCTCTTTCTGCTAAAGGCTAAAAGCACTTGAGCCACAGCGTCACTTCCGGTTTTCTGGTGATCAATTGGAGATGAGTCTCGTGAACTTGCCTGCCTGTGCTGTCTTTGAACCAGGATCCTCAGATCTCAGCCCCCAGTGCCTGGCCATGAGACTCTTCAACTAATCAGCAAAAATGCTGGATTAGAGGCCTGGCTTAAGTGATGAGTGGAAAAATTAAACTTCAGTTAATCATCAAAAAAGCTGGATTACAGGCATGGCCAGCCATAAGTAGAAAAGGCAGAGTGACAGCATACAGCCCTGAGTTCAAACCTTGGTACCACAAAAACCTGGCTTTCAGCCTGATCTCAAAGTGGTGACTGGTCCTTCCTTGGCAAAGGAATAACAGAGAGCTATGAATGCTCATGAGAGTAGGAACTACATGTTCTAAACTTCTCCAATCTCTGGAACTATTTTTATCTCATTCCCTCTCCAAAATGGATGAAGATGGGCAAGAAGAATTCTGCCTTCAAAGGAAGAATGGGGCCAAAGAGAAGAAAGGATACAACAAACAGTCCCTTGGGCCTAAGAGTCACAGACCCTGTCAGGGATGCTCTTGACCAATGAACGCTTTATACTCCAGGCCTCTAAAGGACCTTTCTTAATCACACCCAACTAGAATAACCCCTGCTCTTCACAGGGTGGCCCTAATCTGTTTTTTTAAGCCTCCTTGTGGGAGTGGTAATTTAAGACTTCAGATGATAAGCTCTGGAAAAGCAGACCTTGGATCTGCCCCGTCCTATTTTCCTATCATTCAACACACAGCAAGTGTATGTAGTCAAAAAGCTACCTCTGTTACCTCTGCAATAAGGAGTCCTATGATGGAAAATTACCAAGCCAGAACAAGCAGAGGCCAGTCAGTCAATATCAGGGTTTGATAATTTGTATACAGAGATCTGTAGGGAGACTCAAAGGAAGACACCACCAAGTCTTGCCCTTAAGACACATCTTGGACTAATGGGGAAGACATCCTTTACTAATGAGGATAACAAAACTATACCTTTAAGGGGAAAAAATAGTATGGTGAAGTTTGTAGGAAAGTTCAAATGCAAGGAACAAAAGGCAAAGAAGGAAAGTTGGGAAATAGTTACACCATGGAGATCAGCAAAGAGAGACAGCAAGATCCTTCTTCCCTCTTCTTCCTGGAAATCATTCTAAGTTCATGTTCAAACAGGCTAAAAAATATTTTTTAATGTTTCCTCTCTTTGTAGTCTCCTCTTGTCACATCATTTCATTTACTGCTTAGAAAAAAAAAGGTGCCATACTACTCTCAGCCATGATGACCCTTATAGGAATCAGGATATGGGCTGGGAAGGTGGCTCAGTGGTAGAGCGCTTGCCTTGTATGCATGAGGCCTTGGGTTCGATTCCTCAGCACCACATAAGCAGAAAAAATAAAAAAATAAAAAAGCCATGGCTCAAGTGGTAGAGCGCTAGCCTTGAGCTCACTCAGGCCCAGAGTTCAGGCCCTATGACTGAACTGCCTCCCCCCCCCAAAAAAAAAAGGAAACAGGATAGGGAATAAACAGATTTTCATCAATCTCTGGTCTTTTCCTTTGCATCCAAATTGGTAAAGGGATCAAGGCTGTAAAACATTGACTTTGTAGAACCCTACAGCTCCAATGCTAGAACATGGGGCTCAATACTTCTGACAACGAAAGTGGTCATTTCTATTAAAAAAAAAAAAAAAAAAGTTAAGCTGGGCGCCAGTGGTTCATGCCTGTAAACCTAGCTACTCAGGGGGCTGAGACCTAAGGCTCACAGTTCAAAGCCAGACTAGACAGGAAAGTCTGTCCAGGAAGTAGCGCTGTGGCTCAAAGTAGTAGTGCGTTAGCCTTGTGCAAAAAGAGCTCAAGAGTAGTGCTGGGGCCCTGAGTTCAATCCCCATACCCACCAAAAAAAATTTTGAAAAGGTTACTTGGCCTCAAACTCCTGCTCCTTTGCCTCAGTCTTCTGAGTGCTGGGATTACAAGCATGGATCGATATATTTAGCAAATTGTTTTTAGTATTGTTTATATTCCTAATGATATCTACCCTTAGGTGATAAAACAGAAAAAGCAAAGTGTCCAGTGCAGTGGCTCATACTTGTAATCCCAGTCCCTCAGGAGGCAGAAATTAGGAGGCCAGCAGTCCAAAAGATAGCCAGCTTTGGGAAAAGTTATTTAGATACCATCTCACCCCAGGGAAAATTTGATCTAAAAAAAATTCAAGAAAAAGCAAAATGAGTTGGAGGCATGGTTCAAGTGGCAGAGCACTTGCCTAGGAAGTGCAAGGCTCTGAACTGAAACCCCAGCACTGGGGAAGAGGGGAAGACAAAAGGCAAACACACACACCAAAAAAAAAAAAAAAAAAGACCTTTAAATAGATAGATTTATACAAACACACACACACACACATATATATATATATGATATATGTATGGTTTATGTCAAAGAGGCAGAGAAGGGCTATGGCCTGCTCAGCCTGAACCGGGAAAACAGAGTTGAGTGGCTTTCTCTTTTTCTTTTGGTTGGAGACCAGGACTCAAATTCTGTCCCTAACGATTTTGCTCATGGGCTGACACTCTACCACCTGAGCCACACCTCTAACTCAGCTTTCTCAACATTTCTTTAACCATGTCTCAGTTCTGGGACTCATATTCCTAAGTCTCCTTGAATGTGAGCAGTAACAAGGGCTACATGATTAACTCTAGGTCAGGGACAACAAAAGTGAAGGAAGGAGTGCTAGCCTTGAGCACAAACAGGCTCAGAGACAGCGCCCAGGCCCTGACTTCAAGCCCTAGAGCCGGGGGGGGGGGGGGAGGGGAAGGGGGAAGAAGAGTTGGGAAGGTGGGGAGGAAAGGGATGGGGGGGGAATCACTGGCCAAGTCAAAGATGCCATCTAACAAGAGGGGGCCAAAGTCTACTATCAGTTGTCAACCCTCAGACACCAACACACACACACTCAGACACTATACATTACTTCTCAACTGATTACCTGAGTTAAGTATGAAAGTTATTGTTTAAGATACCTGTGGTGTGTATGTGGAAAGAAATAAAAATGCATACTGGGCAAATCTAGATGCTATCTATCCCTTAGGAAACCAACACCTCCCCTCCCCATCTATTTTCATACTAGCGGCTGCTGTTACTATGACAACCTGTCCAGGAAATTGACCCACACTTCTTCCTTCAGGAGCAGGAAGCTAAAGAGTGTTTTTGCGTTGCGGGAGGGAGGGAGGGAGGGGGGGGGAAGCGAAAACAAACTTGCAGGCCTCTTCTCCCCACCCCCACCCCGTCTCCGCTCCGGTATCCCTCCTCGGCCCAATTCCTTAACTCCCTTGCCCACCCCCCACACCTACCTCCTCTAACTCATCCTTGGCATCCAAACTGGTTGAAAGTAGCAGCCTCCCCCCTCCTGGGGATCCTGCTCCCGCTCCTCCTCCTCCACCTCCCGGGGCTCCTGAAGCAGCAGCTGCTGCTGCCCCCTTTCCCTTCTGTAAGTCCATGGCTGCAACCAGGAGACGGGAAAGGGTCAGGGAGTGGGTGGATAGAAAAGTCCTAGAAATGGGAAACTCCGGATGGGCCAGGGACCAGGAGGCAAGAGAGAAGCGGCGGAGGAGGGGAAGGCTCGGGCCCGGGCTCCGGGCCTCCGCGCTCCTCCCGCCTCCCCAAGGCCGCTCCTGCCGAGGGGCGCAGGCGGCCGGTCCTGTAGGGCTGCTGCCTGCGGGAAAGCCGTTAGCTCTCCAGGACGGTGAAAGGTCTGTCTGTGCCTCTGAGGGAAACGCAGGCGAGGCTGCCGCCCCGGCAGCAATGGAGGGGCACCCTCTCTCTGGCTTCGGACCCTACCAGAAGGAGGGAAAGCCCTAAGTTTCTGCCTCCAGAGGTGGGGGGTGGGGTGCGGGAAGAGTCCTGCTCCTGAGGCCGGGGTAGGAAACCTTCCCGGCTGGTGCCTCAAGGACTCGGGGAGCGAGGCTCCTTTGGATCCAGGCCCTACGGGGGGGGGGGTGAAGGTGAAGCCGTAGCGCTACAGGAGGACACCGAGGACCAGCTTCTTCCCACACCACACTGAGGCGGCCATGGTGGAAGAGCGGGGGTGGGGGCGGGAAGGCTGAGGCCGACCGAGGGGGGCGGGGGAGAATCGTTGAGCCTCGCGCCGGAAGCCAGCAGTCGCAGTCCGGGGTTTCAGCCAATAGCAGCTTCCGCGGTGGCGCCGGCTGGACGAGGAATAAGCCGACCACGGAGGAATGGTCTTTTCCCGGGCTACCAATAGCATTGAGCAAAAGCAAGCTCCGGATGATGGGCAGCCAGGTGTCCCAATCGCATCTCTCTTCTGCTCCTAAGGGGCGGGACAGCCTACACCGGGGGTGGGAATACATGGCTACCAGGAAGAAGATAGGCCGCGCCTGCGCGCGCTGAAGAGCATGCGCAACGTCTTTTTCTCCTAGAGCTTAGGTTGGTATAGAAATGGGCGGCAGAGCCGGGCGCCGGTGGCTCACGCCTGTAATCCTAGCTACTCAGGAGGCTGAGAGCTGAGGATCGCGGTTCAAAGCCAACCCGCGCAGTAAAGTCCGTGAGACTCTTATCTCCTGTAAACCACCAGAAAAACCGGAAGTGGTGCTGTGGCTCAAGTGGTAGAGCGCAAGCCTTGAGCTGAAGAGCTGAGGGACAGCGCTCAGACCCAGAGTTCAAACCCCACAACCGACCTCCCCCCCAAAAAGAAAGAAAGAATGAATGAATGAATGAAATGGGAGGCTATCTCAGTACAGCCTCGGGAGATCCGAAACTTAACCCACAAAGTAGCAATGCAGGGTAGGGAGTAAAGCCCCAACCCAAGTAGTCCTAGAGAGAACTCCATCTGGCAGTGTGGAGCCAGCTTCTGGACTGAGAGTGCATCACTTTTAGGCAAGTGCAGTTATTTTGCACATGCGTGTGCACACACGGTTCATTAACCTACTTCTGCATACCAAATCATGAAAATCGTGAGGGCAATGACTATCACAAAAAATTGTTAAACCATCAACTTTCCTTCCTTTTGAAGCTTCTGCTGGTTGTGGGGCCTGAACTCTGGGCCTGGGCGCTGTCCCTCAGCTCTTCAGTTCAAGGCTAGCGCTCTACCACTTGAGCCACAGTGCCACTTCCGGCTTTTTTCTTTTTGCTTATGTGGCGCTGAGGAATCGAACCCAGGGCCTCATGCATACAAGGCAAGCACTCTTACCACTGAGCCATCTTCCCAGCCCCTTTCCTTCCTTTTGAATCTGTCACTGAGATCATTACCCACAACCCAATGAGGAGCCACTTAATCTGTTGGGAACATAGACCATGGTTGTTTGTGAGTCAATTTTTGGGGGGGCCAGTTTTGTGGTTTGAACTCAGGGCCTGGGCACTGTCCCTGAGCTTCTTTTGCTCAAGGCTAGCACTCTACTACTTGAGCCACAGCGCCACTTCTGGCTTTTTCTGTGTATGTGGTACTGAGGAATCCAACGCAGAGCTTCATGCATGCTAGGCAAGTACTCTACCACTAAGCCACATTCCTAGCCCTTGTGAGTCGATTTTTATTTTTATTTTTCTGGTACTAGGGCTTGAACTCAGGGCCTGGGCATAGCATAACATTTTCCTGCATGACTAGTACTTTGTCACGTGATCCACACATCCAATTGGAGATGAAAATCTTACAGACTTTATTACCCAGGCCAACTTTGAACCCCTATCTCCTCCTGAGTAGCTAGGATTACAGGTGTGAACTACGGTCAAGTCAGGCTCCATTTTTATTTTCTTATATCTTATTTCTCCATTTGGGTGTCAGTAGCATCCATTTTTAGAATACAAAAGGATTACCACACACAGATCCAAAAACATCAAGGTGGTGCTTTTTTTTCCCCTTACCACTGTATATGGACTCTATTCTCGAATACCATCCATTTTCAGGCCTGGTCGTTGGGCAGGTGTGTTATATGCTCCTTAAAGGATTTCAACTACCATGGCCACTCTTTAGCTAGACAAGTTATTTTGAATGAATGTATGTTAATTATTTTTAAAGTAAGACCTGGACACATGGGTCTATAAATACCATTTTAGCATTTGTTTTGCAGTTGTACCAAGTATGCTTTGTTGAAAACACTACTTCAGCTACTGATGAAAACATTAACATTACACTGTATAGATAGAAACATTGTTACAAAGCATTGATTACTCACAACTATAATCCTGGCTATTCAGAAGACTGAGAATCTGAGGCTTGTGGTTCAAAGCCAGCATATACAAAGAAAGTCCTTGAGACTGTTTGTTTGTTGGGGCTGGGCCCTGTCCCTCAGCTCTTCAGCTCAAGGCTAGTGCTCTCCCACTTGAACCACAATACCACTCCTGGTTTTCTGGTGGTTTATTGGGGATAAGAGTCTCACGGACTTTCCTTCCAGGACTGGCTTTGAACTGTGATCCTCAGATCTCAGCCTCTTGAGTAGCTAGGATTACAAGTATGAATCTGACCAGTGCCTGGCCCTTGAGACACTTATTTCCAATTAACAACCTACAAAAAAGAAGTAGAGCTGTGGTTCAAGTGTTAGAGCACCAGTCTCCAGCAAAAAAGGTAAGGGACAGTGTTCAGGCCCTGAACTAAATCACTAATACCTGCAGGTGCACACATGCGTGCACACACGCGCAAGCGCGCGCACACACACACACACAACAGATATAGACCACTGTGGATATTATGGTTCCCTTTGCAAGGGTTGTTTTGTTTTGTTTTGATTTTGCTATACTAAAGATTAAATCCAGGATTCACAAATGCTAAACAACTCTCTATGACTGAGCTATGACAGATATTTACATTTTAGTGTATATGCTTTGCTGATATATTTTTTTAATGAGTACCACTCATGGGCAGAGGTAGAGTACTTGTCCAGAATCTGTAAATCTCTCTAGACTCAATTCCTAGCACCACCAGTAAAGCGATCGAATGAAATAAGTATACCATTGCAGTATGTTTTGTTTTGTTTTTTGTTGGTGGTGGGGCTGTCACTCTGGGCCTGGGCACTGTCCCTCAGCTCTTCAGTTCAAGGCTAGAGATCTACCACTAGAGCCACAGTGCCACTTCTGGTTTTCTCATGGTTAATTGGAGATAAGAGTCTTACAGAACCTGGGCGCTGGTGGCTCAGGCCTATAATCCTAGCTACTCAGAAGGCTGAGATCTGAGGATCTCGGTTCAAAGCCAGCAAGGGCAGGAAAGTCTGAGAGACTCTTATCTCCAATAAACCACTAGAAAACTGGAAGTGGCGCTGTAGCTCAAGCAGTAGAGCGCTTGCCTTGAGCTGATCTCAGCCTTCTGAGTTAAAAAAAAAAAAAAGAAAACAATTTACATTTAGCAAGGGCTAGCTACATGCTAGTAAATATTCCACATTTGTTTGTTTTATGCCAATACCTCCACTTTCTCACTCTAAGATTGGCTCTTTACAACTTGAGCCACACCTCCAATCCAGAATTTTTTTTCTTTTTGGTCCGTCGAGGGGCTTGAACTCTGGGCTTGGGCACAGTCCCTGTACTCTCTTCAGCTCAAGGCGAGCGCTCTACCGCTTGAGCCACAGGGCCACTTCCAGTTTTCTAGTGGTTTATTGGAGATAGTCTCATGGACTTTTCTGCCCGGGCTGGCTTTGAGCTGAGATCCTCAGATTTCAGCCTCCTGAGTAGCTAGGATTACAGGCATGGGCCACTGGTGCCCGGCCTCCAATCCAGAATTTTGTTGGACTTTTTGGCCTAGGCTGACTGGGAACTGTGATCCTCATATCTCAGCCCCATGAGTAGCTAGGATTACAGATGTGAGCCTGCAGCTCCAAACAACATGTTTTAATTGTTATACTTTGGACGAAGTATTATCTTCCCCTGCCTTACTGATGATGAAATTGAGACAGAAAAAAAATCATTGATTTGTACAAGTCTTGTGGCTTAGGAGATGTTAGAGCTAGGCTCTGAACCCAAGAAGTCCAGTTCCTAAACATGCACATTTTGCCCCAGCTTCATTCTTCCTTTTTGTCAATAAAATTAGGAAATGGAGAAAAAAAATGAAAGATAAAAAGGATTTTAAAACAAAATGACGTGGGGCTGGGAAGGTGGCTCAGTGGTAGAGCACTTGCCTTGCATGCATGAGGCCCTGGGTTCGATTCCTCAGCACCACATAAGCAAAAAGAAAAACACCAGAAGTGGCGCTGTGGCTCAAGTGGTAGAGCGCTAGCCTTGAGCTGAAGAGCTGAGGGACAGCGCCCAGGCCCAGAGTTCAGGCCCCATGACTGGACCCCCCCCCCAAAAAAAAAAGACCTAGTGATTTGGATAATTCTTGTATATGTTATTTGGCCTTTTTTGTTTGTTTTTGTTTTTGTACTGGTACTGGAGCTTGAAATCAGACCCTGGGTGCTGTCTTTTAGCTTTTTCTTCTCAAGGCTGATACAACACTTCTACTTCCTTTGTTGATCTTTTAAAAGACAAATTTCAAATGTGATGTAGTGGTTTACTCCTATACTTTCAGCACTTGGGAGACTGGGACTTATCAGTTCAAAGCTAGCCTTGGCTACATATTGAGATCCCATCCCAAAATAAAATTTTCAAAAAAGAGCAACAACAACAAAGAGAGAGGAGGAGGAAGAGGAAAAGGAAGAAGAATAGGAGGTGGTGGTGGTAGTGAGCTAGGTGCTGATGGCTTGTGCCTGTAATCCTCGCTACTCAGGAGGCTGAAATCTAAGGATCACGGTTCAAATCCAGTGTTGGCAGGAAAGTACATGAGACTCATCTCCAATTAATGACCAGAAAACTGTAAGCAGCACTGTAGCTCAAAGTGGTGGAGTGCTAACCTTGAGTGAAAAAACTCAGGGACAGTGCCCAGGCCTTGAATTTAAGCCCCATGACTGAAACACACACAAAAAGTAAAGCTGGCACATTAGTCCTATAAGCTACTCAATAAGCTGAAGCAGAATTACTTAAGTGGAGCATAATGAGATACCATGACAGTGGGATTGGGGAGTGGTAGACCACGGGTAGAGGCCTTGCTTAGCAAGATCAAGTCTAGGAATTCCTCAAAAAGAAGTTATGACCAGGCGCAGGTGGCTAACACCTATA